GCTTCTCCCTCTCCCTCTGCCCCTCCCCCCACTGGTGCACACGCTCTCTCTCTCAAATAAATAAAATCTTAAAAAAAAAAAAAAAGGCAAGGTGGCTCCAGTAAAGCCATGAAGCCTTCAAATTTGAGTCTGCTCCCACAAGCCTCTCACTTCTCCCACTCACTTTAATTTTCTAGGCCCCAATATCTCTTGTACTTCCTACTACTAATCCAAACAGGAGAGAGTGATATCCTTGTTTATGCTTGGAATGAAACTTCTCTCTACAACAATTTTAACATTTCCAGGAATTAGAATCTTTGGGGTTACTGTCAATAGTTAAGGAATGAAAGGTTTAACCTATTAAGACTTCAGGCCTCTTATTATAGTGGAGGAGGTAATTTTTATTGTCTCTAAACATCACACTGTGCACCTGAGGTTGGCTTTCATCCTTACAGGCTACCTGGAGTCTAGGGGTGAATCAGAAAGGATAGTTGAGTGTCTGAGCTAGCCTATTCCTTTCCCATCTTAAACAATTCACCTCCCATCCTTCTACTCTAAGATTCCCAGATGCCAGGGGCATGAATCTGCTCATACTGTCCTCCTAACATGCCCCATGCCAGTGCCTTGATATGGGCTTTCACCTTCTCTGTTCAGTCTCCCTCATCATCACTATAAGCTATGCTAGCTGAATCGTTGTTCCCAGGCAGTCCTGCCTTTTGACACAGAGCTCCAGCTGTTTAAAACTCTCTAGCACTCTGGGGCGCCTGGGTGGCTCAGTTGTTAAGCGTCTGCCTTTGGCTCAGGTCATGATCCCAGGGTCCTGGGATCGAGCCCCACATCGGGCTCCCTGCTTGGCGGGAAGCCTGCTTCTCCCTCTACCACTCCCCCTGCTTGTGTTCCCTCTCTCACTGTGTCTCTCTCTGTCAAATAAATAAATAAATAAATCTAAAAAAAAAAACCAAAAAAACCTCTCTAGCACTCAGGGCACTGAAGAGCACATGGGAAGCAAGTGGCAGCAGTGTGACAGGTGACACAGGGAAGGAACGGCAGGATGGGAGGGATCTCAGCCTTTAGGCATGTCAGGCTGAAGGCAAGTCACACTCCAACATATAAGGAAGAACATATTTTTTACAATGTGTGACAGGAGCACAAATGTGTCTATCAGGTTAAAGGTGGTAATCATACGTGGAGGGAAAAAGTCAACACAAATATATTTAAGCTCCTCACAACCAGCAATGAAGTAAAAAGAGATGAACTAACTGGCTGGGGAGCTTTGCATCAGGTGTGAGGCTGGACTTGATAAGCTTTAAGATGGATTTCTTCACAGATTCTCCCTAAGTGGTATTGATTAACGGGGACCAGTATCTGCTTTAGGGGGTGCTTTGGGACTAAAGGAGCATTTGGCATATAGGTAAGAGAACTCAAAGATAAAAATTCCAAATGAGAGCCCTCAATAGGTCACACTCAGACAGCTAGATACATGAAGCCAGTGGTTCAGTGCTATGACTGAGGGGGGTGCTACTCTACACAGGCCCACCTACCTTGTTCTCTAAGTCATTTGGACAACTGGTCCCTACTCCTGGCCCCTATGTTGGCTCACCCCTCCCTATATGACAAGTGGGGAATGTATAAGCCTCTAAGAGGCTACCCATTCAAGGTTGCAGACACAGATGCTGCACTGTCACTTGAATCCTTGGAAACAAATCTTAAAACTTTCCACAAGTCCTCATAAAGTAAGGTTATTACACAGGGTTTTTCTTCTTTCTATAAAGGCATGTCCAACAAAACTTCAAGATCACCATAAATACAACTGTTGAAGGCAATAAATAAGTAATTTAATGATATAAAACAACATATAGCTTTTGCATTAAACTATCAGTTCTTTGCTTACCCTGAGTAATTAGTTCAAGGAATCAGAAGTGTTAAATTGAGTAAGTGATACAAAAAATCCTTGAACAGGATAGAAAAGAAACATCCAAAAATAAAGAATTAAGTAAAAATGTTACAAAAATGTCCTATTTACCAGACTTTCATAGAAGCTTGACACATCGCAAAAATCTGCTTTTAACCTTGGTAAAGCAATTAAAAGGTGATTTTCAGTAACTCCACTGCATGAATCAAATTATTGTTGGAAAGATAAATATTTGAAATTAACGGCTACAGAGACTTTCAACTCCCAACTCCCTGCAAACCCACCAAAGTCTTCTTTTCTGTTCTTTGATCCTCTGTGATAGAGAAACAAAGACCATCATTTTTAATTTCAAGAAAATCACATGGATGCTTTGTTTCTTCACTTAAAAGAAACGACATGATTATATTTGGGCTATTTATTAATGAGTTCCATATGAATTAAATTTCACTTATAATTCAATTAATTATTAAATTATCTATTTCTCTTTAAAAACACAAATCAACATATAAGTGGGTAAAAAGAGATTAATCTGGGTTCTTTTATTCATATTTATGTCTCCAGGCAGAGCCACATCTGTGAGGGACCAATTCCTAAATTCATCCAAATACCTGAACAGACATTTTATTGCTGGCACTGCTATCTGAACTGCCAAGCAAGCCCACATAAAAAGGCACCATTAAAGAGCAGCAACTTACTTATCAGTGATATCATAAGTTATCAACAATTCATTCACTCAACAAATAGTACTAGACACTCTGCTAAGTGCTGGAAACATAATGGTGAGTGAAATGATTCCTGCTCTCACAAAGCTTACAGTATGGTAAGGGGAAGAGATATCAATCAATCAATCATATAATGGAGTGTAATTAAAAAGTGAAATAAAGCTTACAAGGAAAAAGAACACAATGTAAAGTAGAAGAATCTGATCTAGACAAACAGTGGGCATCGGAGAGGGCTTCCCTGAGGAAGTGATCAGCTTGAGCTGAGAGCTGCAGGACTAGAGTATGTGGGGGAAAGGGCAGGCATATGAGGATTTCAGGCCAAGGGAATAGCACCTGAAAGGGCCTGGGGTAAAGGTAAGCCGCACCCTCAAAGAAGTCGACGGCAGGCCACTGTGTTTAGAGCACAGGAACTAGGGGTACAAGGATAAGAAAATGGTAAGTTTTTAGAAAGGTCTTAAAATAGGAAGCAGCCAAATGGCCTCTACTGTAACTTGGGTTCTGGTGGGGCTTCAACAATATAATGCCTTTAAAGGAATTTTGTAAACTGTAAAGCACCCTTACTTTCGTAAGTACTATTTACTTCCACTACTTTGTTTTCTAAATAAACTTTCGGCCTGGATGCCAAGTGACAAGCCAAAAGGAGAAGAGCTAAAACTAGAACCCCAGTGTTCTAATCCAGTGTTTTGCCCCTATACCACACTGCCTAAAAATTTCACTGTTTATATCACTTAACTAGTCCAATGTCTTTACCAGACAACTACTGCTTCATAATGACAACTCCAATTATGAGTATGTCAGGCAATTTTCTAAGCTCTTTATTTACATTAACTTTAATCATCAATTCTAGAAAAAAGGCTCTATTATTGTCCAGATGAAAACACTGAGGCTCAAAAAAGTTAAAATTATTCAAAGTCGCACAGCTGGTAAATCTTGACATTGTTAACCACAACACTATTTAGCTGCTGCTTAAAACATTTTACGTGTGTATGTACGTATGGGGGGGGTGGAGAACAGAACTCACCTGTATAAAACCACATTCGCATAATTGAGGACACGGATCCGTGTACTGGTCACCTAGTGCCTAGGGTATTAGGGGGGCCTGGCAAATACTTTACCAACTAAAGATGGATATAAGGGACTAACAAAAGACTTGAATCCAGAAGTAAAGTGATTTTCTGATGCTTTCCCCCTCAGTCATGTATCCATCAGCAATTCACTTGATGGCTGTATTTTCCTTGTCTACTTTTTTATTGTTAAATTGAAGATTTGTTCTCCCCTGCCTTTGTCATACTTCACAGACTTTAGCCTGGAGGCAGAGTGGGATTATGGAAAAAGGACAATGAACTAGTTCCAACCACTTTCCAGCCACAACTGGCCTGTTCTCAGTCACTCCAGACACTTTCCCTCCTGGGCCTCGCTCTCCAGAACACTATTCCTTCCTTGGGTTCCTCCGTTCAAACATCACCACCTTTCCCGAACATCCAATCCAAATTAGTCTCCGCAGGCCTTCTTTAACACATCACTCAGTTTCATTTCATTTCTTTCATGAAGCTGACCACTCTAATCATCTCTTTAATGTCTATTCACCCCAACTCCCAATCCTAGGAGGGCAGGGGCTTTGTCTAGGTGGTTCTCTGGATGTATCCTCCAGTGCCCCAAACTAGGCAAATATCCATTTAATCAACGAATGAGAATTACTTCAGATTTACCTCTGTTCTATAAAGCCCTCAATACCCTTAAGCTTTCCACTCCTGGTGGCTCTACACCCCATTTTCAACAGGAACACCATCTCTACATTACTTTGAGGTTCACAAAGTAGCCTGGACTCCATTTTCTGAGCAGAGCCCCTAAAACGATCTCTCCCCCATTTTACAGTTTAGGAAACTGAGCCTCGGAAGGGATTCGCCCGCAGCCATGCCGAAAACACGGGCAGGAGCCCCGACGGGTGTCCAGGTTCCGAAAAGCCCTTCCCACGAGCCAGCGCCGTGGATTCAAGGTGCTTCATCACCTTTATTACTATTGTTCTACCGCACTCATTCAGGACGCCTTCCAGGCAGAGGGAAACCACCCGGGCCCTCGCGGCGTCCCCGAGCGCCCCCAGACTCTTAACCCAGGCCGCGCCCCCGCGCGCCCCGCCCCCGGCCCCGCCCCCACCGCCCCGGCCTCACGCCGCACCGCGGCCTCTGCTCCCGCCCTGCCTGGGCTCCCGCGCCCCGCGGGGGCCGCCCCCTCCCGCCCGAGCCAATCAACAGAGCCTTGAGGGGCGGAGTCAGAGGACCCAGCCCTCCTATCGGAGCATCAATTGGTCGGGACAGCTGTCGTTCACGAAGTCGCGCCCCGCACCCGCCTCCCTCCCTTTTCTCCACCCTCCCTTCAGAAAAAACGGCGGTTGGGCCGCGGCGGTCTCCAACGGCGGGCGGGAAGCGGAGGGGCGAGGAGCCGGGGAACTAGGGAAGGAGGGACTGCAGGGAGGAGGAGGATGAAAGGGAGGAGGAGGGGAGCCTGGCCCAGCCGGAGCCATCTCCATCGAGAACAAAATGGCGGCGCTGGCGGAGGGCCAACTGTGAGGCGGGGCCGCGGCCATTCCCCCTCCGCCCCCACCCTCGCGCCGGCCGGGCCGGTCAAGGGGAGCCCGCTCTCTTCGCCCGGCCGCGGGCGGGGAGGGGAGGGAAGCGGCCCGGCCCACTATGCAAAGCGTCCGGCGGCGCCGCCGCCGCCGCCGCCCCGTGGCAAAGGTAAAAGGGTCGGGTTCAGCCGCCGTCGCGGCGGCTCCATGTCCGCGCGCCAGGCCCGCCCCCTCCGCCGCCGGCCCGAGCCCGCCCCGGCCCCTTTTCAATTTTACCTCAGGATTTGGCGCCAAAGCAGCCTCGAAGCAGGTCCCGTGTCTGCGGCGGGCGGCCCCCGACGCGGAGGGCAGGGCGCGGGGAGGCCGGCCTCCCGGCGTTGGCGGATGGCGGGAGCCCCGGGGCCGTGGGCTCGCGGGGCAGCAGGCGAGAGACGAGACGCCGAGGTGGGAGCGGGGGCGGCGGGGGCGGGCCCGGGGGCGCCGCCGCGGTCGCGGGGAAGGGGGGGTTTGTTATTGTTTTTGTCAGTGAAAGGTCAGAGTTCGTGACCCCGGTGCCGCCGCCGCCGCCGCCCGCGCGCTGGTAGGAGGAGGGCGAATGTTCTTCTTCCTCTTCCCAGCGCCAGCCTCGCCGCGGCCGCGGGGGGCGGGCGAGCACGCGATTGGCTGAGGCGCGCGCGCGCACCGGAACGCCGCGGCCGGCGCTGGTCCATCCGGCCCCTCGGCGGCCCGCGGGCCCGGCGGCGAGCGGGCGGGAGCTGGTGTCGGCCCTGCTGGCCGGGGAGCCTCCGCCCCGGACTGGGTTGGCACAGCCCCTAGGCGAAAATGAAATTTCAGTGGCGCGGACGCCTCTGTTTTCAGGGCAGAGGGCCGATTGGTCGTCTTGAAAACCTGGGAACGCGGCGCACCGTTATTCGGATGCAAGCCCGCGCCTCCTGGGGGACCGCGAGCTCCTCGAGGCTAGGTGGTTTCTGTGTTCTCCCTGTGATACCCTCCATCCCGGCCTCCCGCTGAGCTGAAGCCTCTGTTGATTGAAGAAGCAGTCTCCCAGCAGAGAGCCTGTAGGTTAAGTGGGTGGTTTATTGGTGGGTATTGAATTGTTTGTGCCCTACTCTTTACGGATGGTTTTTATTTAGGTTTTAAAGGTCGCCAGCTTCTGGCAGTATTAGGTAAAGTATTGAAACCGTCCCATACCTGTTATTTATGGTCTTTTAGTGAACACATGACCCAAATCTTACGTCCTTTCCACTCTCCCCGCTCTTTGGAACTAGTGAAGTGATACATAAGTGTGTGTAAACCAACTGCAAAATTGCTTCTCTTGGTCTTAAGAATTTTGGGTTGTAGGTTTTCTTTAGATATTTCTCTTTCTAAGTCGTGGTTTTGACTTGCTTTGGGAGGTGTGTACCACTTATTTTTCCTAGATGCCCTGAAATGTTTTGGTTAGACTCTCCTTGATCGTCATGCTTTGTAGGAGGAAGATTCCTTGCTAATTGATTTTTTTTTCTTGCATTTTTCTTGTTTGTTATGAATAAATACTGACCCCAAGATGGATGGGTTAACCTTTTTTCTTAAACATTTGTGCTTTGATCAGGCTGACCCCAACTTTGAGTATTTTGTCCTAAATCTTCTGTTTCTATTTGATAGGAAATGCTTTAAATACACCCATTTTTTTCTTTTCCCATATTCTCACCTCGAAAAGAAGTGGGGAAAAGAGTTAAATTTGTAATGTCCTGCCTGAAGCTGGAAGGGGCCTCAAGAAATGATATGGCCCAGTCCTCTTCTGGCAGGAAGATCTTACGGGAGAGGTGGGTGAGAACCAGAAAGGTCAAGTGATGTGCCTATGGTTACACAGTAATTTGATGGTAAATCCTTGTAAACATGGACTGTTTTTACAATTGTATTCTTTTTCAAAAATTAGTTTTTTAACGTTAAATAATGCTTCCAGATATAGTGTAAAAATTCATACATCAGTGAGTTTTGGGTTTTTCTTTTTTTGCAAACACATTACAGTTGCACTAATTTTGAAGTAAATACTAAACAATCATTAATGTTTCTATGATGGCCTATCATTAGCACTGTGAACAAGGCACAGTTATTTCATTTTACTGAGGTGTAGGAACTGAGGCCTGGGTAAGGTAAGCAATCTGACAAATGTTACAGATGCAATAAGGGAAGCCAGAGCTGTGATTTAGTCCTTTTGACCTTAAGGTTTATGCTGTAAAACCATGCTGTATCAGTGGCCAGATGTTCACTTTAAGGTTAGTTGTTTAATATTAAAAGTAGTGTAGAGAGGTGCCTGGGTGGCTCAGGCGGTTAAGTGGCCGCCTTCAGCTCAGGTCATGATCCCAGGGTCCTGGGATGGAACCCTTCCTCTGTCTCCCTGCTCAGCAGGGAGTCTGCTTTCCCTCTCCCTCTGTCCTTCCCCTGCTCGTTCTCTCTCGCTCTCTCTCAAATTTTTTTTTTTAAAAAGTAGTGTAGAAAGGGTTCATAATCTTGGGCAGCTTTTCTTCCCTGGAAAACAGATGCACACGTACAGAGACAGATTGCAAACAATATCAGCAGGTAACAGGCCTCTGCAAGCTGAAATCAGTGCTGCCATAGTGCCATTTTTTTTTCTCCATTGTGTTTTTGCTAGAAGTCTTAAAAAAAAAAAATATATATATATATATGTTTGTTTATTTTTAGAGAGTGCACATGTGAGGTGGGGGGTGACAGAGAGAATCTTAAGCAGGCTCCACTCTCAGTGTGGAGCCCATCTTGGGGCTCGGTCCCATGACCCTGAGATCATGACCTGAGCCGAAATCAAGAGTCAAGATGCTTAATAGACTAAGCCACGCAGGCACGACTCGCTAGAAGTCTTTTTAGTGAGAATGTTTTAGCAGCTTTAATCACAAAAAAAATTCAAGTTGTATCATACTAGCTATACTTTTTTTTGACTGTTGATAAGTATCCACATTTGTATCAACAGTGCTTTTAGCATTGTTTTATCTGCCTTTAAATATTAAAGGATTCTTGACTGAGGGGTGTAGTAAAGAACTGCCAGGCCCCAGTGGTTGTGAAGCATTAAGCTTTGGGTGGGCCTGGCATCAGCACTTCTGAGCATCACAGAGAATTCTGATGTACACTACCGGCCTGAACCACTGATCTGATTCCAAAAATGCGTGGCAAAAGAAAAACAAGACAAAACTTTTCATTTTTTGAAATGCAGTTGTTGGTTTTTTCAAACTGACTACTGAAGATTATTCATTCACAGGGACAGGGGCTTGACAGGATTGATGATACCCAGCTGTTTTGTGTGCATCTTCTTGGCACCTACCCAGACTGTGAACTCTGTATCGAAATGTGCCTTGTCCTATCTCAGCCCTTACCACAGTACCTAGTAAAGATGGGTATTTACTAAATCAGTGCTTTTCCCAGCAACAGTATATGGTGAACAATATTCATATTATCATCCCACTTTTTTTTTTTTTTTAAGATTTTATTTATTTATTTGACAGAGAGAGACACAGCGAGAGAGGGAACACAAGCAGGGGGAGTGGGAGAGGGAGAAGCAGGCTTCCCGCCGAGCAGGGAGCCCGATGTGGGGCTCGATCCCAGGACCCCGGGATCATGACCTGAGCTGAAGGCAGACGCTTAAGGACTGAGCCACCCAGGCGCCCCTATCATCCCACTTTTAAGATGAACTCAGTGAAAACAAAGTTTGGTGACTTCCTTGAGCTGGGATGTGAGCCTGGGGCTGTTCGCTCCTTGCATAGTGCTCTGTGGATGAGACCCAGGTGTTCCTTTCTCTTCCCTCTCTGTTCTCTGGGCAGGTATTTTTTTCACAACACTTAACTAGTGTGTTCTTCACTCAGTCATTAAATAACTTGTCTGTGAGCTCCTTGAGAGCAGGAACAATATCATGCAGTTTCATTTTGTACATAGGACAGAGTAAACATGTTTTTTGCCATCCAGGGTTATTTAAATAATAAATGTCAATGAAAACCAAATTTTGGTTAAATAATAGTTGTATATGTGCTAAAATTTTCAAGTTATTATTAAGCAAAGTTGGTTTTTTAACTTGTAAAGATACTGCTTTTTTGGTAGCAGAAATGATGGTTTTCCTTATTTTTGTAGACTGGGAAGGCTTAATAATTACCTTCTTAAGTATTTATATCTTTGTATCAGCTTTTCTGTAATAGCTTATGCTTTATTGCTATGTATAGTAATTTATGAAACTTACGTTTATATCATTTATATAATTATGACATGTTTATAAAATAAACTGTTAAACCTGATATAATTCTTTTTAGCCTTATTTTTTAAGAATGTGGAATCTAAACAGATGTAATCAGTAAGTACCAGATTGCCTGTTCCTTATACTGACATTATCCTGTTAAATCTTCACAATAACTTTGTGAAGTGGATGGTATTATCTTGTTTTTATACCTGAAGAGGCTGAGGCCTTAAACAGGGGAGCATGACTTCTCCAAAGTCACATGGTTGGCAGGTGGTGGAACATTTATTCATAGTTACTTCTGCTTATTTCTCTTCTGTCCTTGAGAACTTTGAAAAGAAAACCATCTTCCCACCTCCATGATTCTGTCAGTCAAGCTCTGTCAGAGTAGAAGGCTACTTGGAAAGGTCTCAGATTCTGTATACTTGGCCCTTGCTTTTCCCAGGAAGAGAAAAAAGACTGAGCCTGTGGTAGACTGGTGGGAATGGAACGCAGGGACACTGTGAGAGTGAGTTCCTGAGTCCCCTCCAGAATGGCTTTTGCTGGGAATTTCTGACCTGAGGCTTCCTGCGCCTTGAAAAGGTTATTATTTCAAAGTTGTATTTGGCTCAGGTATCTTGGAACATGTGGAGAATTAGATTATCTTCTCAGAAAAATGTGCCTGCCCTTGGTCCCTTGTTTTAGAATGCAGCTTGCCTAATTAGGAAGTCTCAATCTTGAGGTTGGGAGTTCTTCACTAGCCCAGTGCTACCACAAGAGTTAATCACCGGGGCCTATTGGCCTTTTACTCTCAAAGTCTGAATAGTGGCACTGCTTGAGTTTCTTAAAGAAGAGATTATTTCAGCCCCACAGCCTATTCACTACAGGCCAGGAAATGTACCTCAAAGCCAAAAGACTCTTGGAAAAGTCTTCCCCTTCAGTGCTTTGCTTTGGATCCTGTGCTTCACCTTGGGGAGAAGCTAGGATGCTGCCCTGAGGCTTCTGGCCTTGGGGACGCTCTGGGTACATTGTCCGGACTGGGTCTACACAGAGATCCTCTTGGTTCTGTCCTCACGGTTGGCCCCTCCTCCACTGTTCTCTAGTTTAGGTCTCTCTGGCCTGCTGTCATGGTTTCCTAACCTTCCAAACCAGTCTGCCAGCTGCCCCCTCCCCACCCACCGCCCTCCCCTTTTCCCTCCCACTGCCTGAGTTTTCTGCCAACAGCCAGTTCTAGCTCTCTTCTACCAATAAAGTTCTTTAATGGCTCTGCATTGCTTAGGGCTGAAGTGAAAACTCAGATGCCTAAAGCGAGGACAGTAGGGGTCGGGTCTTGCAAGTGTTCTAAAGGAGGTCAGTAAGCTGAGATAAACACTATTAGTATGTTAAAAGGTCATAGTGACACCTGGGGAGCTCACTAGACTTAAAGGGGCAGCCCCTCATCAGCATCTGGAATGCAGCCAGAAATGGATTTTTCAAGAGAAGCCAGAAATCCAGATTTGTAAATGAAATCTCTTGGTTTTGAAATGTTGGCAGTTTACAAGTGGTTTTTTAACTATGCAGGCCAAGCATCATCTCTTAAACATGGTTGTGGGTCTCAGAACTAGTTTGGGACCTTTGACCAATCAGATAAAATCTAAACTGAGCTAGGGCCACTGAAAGTCCTTCACAGTGGGTCTTTTCAGCCCCTTTCAGATTAGAGCATCATTCAATGGTAGTATTTTTTTTCTTTTCTTTTTTTTTGTAAAGATTTTATTTATTTATTTGACAGAGAAAGACACAGTGAGAGAGGGAACACAAGCAGGGGGAGTGGGAGAGGGAGAAGCAGACTCCCTGCCGAGCAGGGAGCCTGATGTGGGACTCGATCCAGGGACTCCAGGATCATGACCTGAGCCGAAGGCAGTCGCTTAACCAACTGAGCCACCCAGGCGCCCCATTCAATGGTAGTATTACAGTAAAAACACTTGAACTCAGAATTTTGATTCCTTCTATTGAACATACATTTTAATCTGTCATGGAAAGGGAACTTCGCAGGCAGGAGACGGTAGCCCGTGTCTCCAGGTTGTACGCAGTGTGTGTGTGCCTGTGCGTGCATGCGTTGGTCGGTGGAGGCACGTTCCTCTTGTAGTTCTCATTTTTCCAGAGCATAAATTTACTGTTTCCTGCCAGGGTGGGAAAGGGCAGTCACTTATCTCTATAGAGTGGGGTCAGGGGATCTGAGGGTCTCATGAATACTTACAGCAGCTCTCAACTGATCCTCTTGTTAGTCCCACTCTAGCCTTCTCAGACATCTGTGCCTCCAAATCGCCATGCCTCCTGAGAGCAAGGACTGGTCCTTGTGTCTCACTGGAATCCTTCCCTGCAGTCACTTCGGTATTAGTTTGCTAAGTCAGCTGCCACTGTCCAGGTATCCTCCAAAAATGAATTGACCATTTTGATACCCTGTGCCTTTTCTTGCATTTTCTTTGTCCTTTAGGTTATATCTTTTTATTCATTTACTGTCCTTTTAGTAGGTTTTGGAAAGGAGCCACGAAATGCATGCTTCCTGGTTATCACTGTGAAACTAATTACACCCAAACTCAGTGGCTTAAAAAACACTTTTTAAAATTATCATCTTGCAGTTCTAGGGGGCTCAGATAGGAGGTTCTCTCTGGAGGTCTCTTGTGGTTGCAGTTAGAAAGTGGCCGGAGCTAGTCATCTGAAAGGCTTCCTAGTCTGTCTAGTGACTGATGCTGGTTGGCAGTGTGAATCCTGACATGTGACCTCTCCATGTGGCCTGGGCTTCCTCATAGCATGCTGCACACATTCGAGGAGGACACAAGAGAACAAAGTGGCATTTTATGTAAGTCACTTCCTCTGCTACTCCTTGAGCCATCACACAGGTCTGTCCAGGGTCAGGGGAGGAGATGCGTACTCCATCACTTGATGGGAAGAGTAAGTCAAATTGTCAGGAGAATATGCAGGAGGGCATCTGTTGTGGCAGCCATCTCTGACAGAATAGACTCCATCTCACATGTATTCAATTTGTCTTCTTTAAATGGAAGACCAGAGTGGTCTTTCTAAAACAGATGTTTTGTCCCCTATTTTAAAGCATCTGAAGGACCCCCCCCCCCATCTCGTTGCCCTACATCCCCTAGAAACTATAGATAAGTGCAGGGGACCTGAATGACCTGGCCACAAACAGTCCTTCTTTGTCTCATGTTTTTGTGACTTCTTCCCTCCACTTTGATGATTCCGAGCTACCCCATTTCCTGAATATGCCACATGGTATCCTACTCATTCTCAACACCTTAACTCCTGCTCTCTGCCTCCAAGGGCCTCTCCAACCCCTTTTCTGTATAAGGCAAGCCCTCCTCAGATGACAAGTCACCCCCCCCCCCCCCCCCCCGGCGATTTCCTAATCTGCCTCAGGCACAATTCATTCACTGTTACCATTCTCCCACAGCCCTTTCTCAACCTCTACCATAGAGTGTTTGTACCTGACTTCTCAGGGGGTGAGCTCCTGGAAGTAAGTAACGATGTCTCTAGTGCTCAGTACTGTGCCAACTCGGCTGTCACTGTTAAAATAGCACCTGAGTATTGCAGTGTTCCAAAGTCCCTTAGCATTCTCCTAGGCTAACGTGTGCAACATTCGGCCCTTCCTCTTCTTCCAGCAGTCAACTGAACATTTCTAGCACCAGCAACACAACCCTGATCATATTAACTTTTCTTTCCAGCTAATTAATCCTAGAAGGAAAGATCATGTATTCTCGAGGCTCCAGGTTTGTTGAACAAATTTGATTTGTTCATAGATGTTTCGGTTATGACTTAGGTAGTCATCATTTCTGTGTGTTAGGAAAGTCAATATTTATCAGTCAATTGTGTATCAGAGTTTCAATCAGCAGAGTCAGTTTTCAGAATAACTGAAAGTCATCTTTCAGCTTAGGATGATGGCGGGGATAGGGTACAAAGTACCCTGGATGTCTTGGCATATTCCAGATTTGCCATTAATGGATTGTGGGGCTTTAGAGGAGATCCAACTCCTGAGTCTGTTGGCTCCTAGGTCAGTTGAGGCCCCCCCACCTACGGGGGTGGGGTGGGGAGGGGAATGTGGAAGGAAGAACATGGAAGCACTCTTCCAAGTGGTAAACACACGTCCATGAAGGCTGCTGATACTCTTGACCAAAGCCCTGAACTAAACACCTAAATTATGTAGACAAGAAACTTTGAATGTTTAATGCACTTTGTTAATTTAAAATTTTGAGATACGGTATTTAGCAAATGTTGTATTTATTGTGATTTTTATCCCCAAAGAGAGAACTTGTCAAGGAATACTATGTTGCATCCTCTCTTAGAAGTTTTATCCCTATAGCTTTCTTAAACAAAGAAGAAAAATACTGTTCCCTTAAAAATTTTCACAAAGAAAGCTTAATAATGTCAAGGGACATATCTTGGAAAAAGGAGAGCTTTCTAAGAAATGTTATTTAAAAGGCCATTTTTGGGGCACATGGGTGGCTCAGTCGGTTGAGTGTCCGACTCTTGATTTCAGCTGAGGTTATGGTCTCAGGGTCATAGGATGGCCCCCCAAGTCAGGCTCCATGCTCAGCAGGGAGTCTGCTTGAGATTCTCTCGCCCTCCCTCTCTGCCCCTCCTCCTGCTCGGGTGCATGATCTCTCAAATAAATAAATCTTAAAAAATAATAAAAGGCCATTTTCTTCACATCTTTTTGTTAGGAGGGGATGTTTCTTATCCTATATAGCAAGGGATGGACTTACAGGATGAGACAGTGATATCTTCATAATTGTAAAAATGGAAGATCTTTGTTGAGTAGGTGAAAGGTTGAGATTTAAGAGAAATTAGTCAAATTGCTACAGTGAAAACTAATGGTCATTTTCCACCCTGCCCCATAAAGTAGGATTCAGGGTTACACTGAGTGGTATTATAGCTGTATTTTAAAAAGAGCTATCTAATTTTATGCCTGTAATAACTTCCATAATTATACATGTTGGCATAATCAAGCCTCATGCTTTGGGGTATAGCCAATTACTGTAGCGATCAAGAGGTAATTTATTTTCTCATGTACATTGCTCACAGTGGGGCAGTTCCATGACACATTCATGAATTCTAGTGTGGTATTGTTAAGGGTTGTTAAGTATAGGCCACTGGATTTGAAGGGCCACAGATTTACGGGAGCAATTCTTTTAAATCTTCATCTGCTTCTTGTGTCTGTTACTTTAAAAGGAGTTCTTAGGAACATAGGCTTATGCCTATCCTTGACCACAAGACAGATTTTTGGATACACCTTGCCGGTGAACACATTAGACATAGAGCCAAATCCTTCCTTACTTTCCCTCTGAGTCTACCTTTGGAGAGAATGTGAATTGCACTTTTGAAAGTGAGATCCTAATTTTGAAGAGAATTTGAGGTCATTTAGGGCAGTTCTCACTTGAGTGGGGAAATCTTTATGTAATAAACCAGAGTAGTGGTCACTGTTGAAAATAAGCTTTGGGAGCCCCTGGCATAAAACATGTTGTTATTCTAAAGTTCTGTCATATTTGCAACTCTCAGCTTCTGGATAATTGTTATAATTTATAATTTACATACACCAATAACAGGTGTATGTTACTTTGCTTATAGGTATCTGATACCTTGATTGCTACCATACCATTTCCTGATCAAAACTATTTCTGTAGCTTTACCATAAATTTTATACCTTTCCCCTCGTTATATTTTTGAAGCATTCAAAAAATAAAACTGGCAATGTCCTTACATTTGAATATGTGTCTTTAGTAAGGTCTTGATTTGGCTCATTATATGTCTTAACTGCAACTCTGTGCTCATTTTTTTCTTACCTGACAGTCTTAAGCTAGTGGCTTAAAAATTTTTTGAAAGTAAGTTTTGACCATAATCTAGAAGTGGAACTACATTTTGACATCAACAATCAGTAATATCATGTGTATGCACACACAATTGAAAAACAAAATGTCATAAAACAGCCTTAAGGAGGACGGATACGCCCTGCTGTGTTCCGCTCTGCTGTCTTCAGTGAGCATGTAGGGTGGGGCTGGGGGAGGGAGCTGGTTGTGGTCCACTGCGTCGATTTCATAACCCACTCCTAGAGTTGAAAAAAACAAGGCTAAAATTTTTGTTCACAGTGTCTTTGTTTCTCTCTGCTTTCTTAACACGGATTTTGTACAAACCTCTTTCACTCTTGTGGATGTGCTGCCTTTCTATACTTGCTCTATTGTAACAGTACCCGTGAAGGACTGTCAAGAGAATGAGGCCTGTTGTCATTCTGTTCTGTCAGCAGAGGATGCCCTTTCCTGTACAGCATCACCAGATTATCTGTGCAAGGAAGAAACTGAGGCCACCTAGGGAGCTTCCTCCATGGCCCTGCAGAGCCCTTACATTATGCTAATCCAAACCGTAGTCTTTCCAAAAGATGTGGTCCAAAGAGTGGACTTTGTGGGTGGATCCTCAGCAGCCGTCCTCCCCTCAGCCCCCAGCTGACCAGTCTCTCCCTGTAAGTAGCTTAAGAAAGGGCAGGCAATAAGTAAGTGTGGACCTGGAGTGTCACGGAAGGCCTGCTGGGTGCCTCTAAGAAAAAGCTACAACAGGAAGATGAGCTTCCCCTCTCTGGTGCCTGTGAACAGGAAAACCTCTAGCCCCGCCATCAGTGGCAGTCACTCATCAGTCTCTGGAGAACCAGCCCTGGAATCAAGCTGACGCTGGACAGCAGATTAGAGAAGCCCAAAGAGCTTGGTCCTTAGGGATACTGTCGAAGTCTGAAACTGCCCTGCTTTTGGACCTCCTCTTGTAAAGCTATTTAAACCAATTTGATGTTAGTTTGCTCTTACTTATTGAAAACAGACTCCTTAGCGTGGACACGTCTGTCCTTTCAACTGACCATTCATGTGTGGAAGCGCAAAACGCCCACGATTATAGAAGCCACAAAACACGGTTGAATCAATTAACAGAATATTCTAGCATGTTGTTGTCTCTGCCTTGTAGCAGAACTCAGGCTCCAGCTTAGTCCTACCACTCCTAGCCCAGGTGACCTCAGTCCCCATTTAGAGGTTCAGTGTTCAGCGATGACATTTATACTCAGTCAAACAAAAGGCTGGGCTGGATGAAGAAAAGACTCTGACCTCATTACCCTTCAGTTGTGGTAGCAGGGCTGTCGGTGTCCTGGGCACTGGCTTGCATGGCGTACACCCAATGATCCACCCTCAGTCCACACCCACATAAGGGACCAGGCTGCATCCAATGGAGAATACGTGGTCAGCGTGTCTGTCGGCCTGACCACAACAACTCAAAGCCTACTTCTGATATGTGCAAGAATTATTACCAGGAGCCAGGAACTCGACCAATGTCCCTGGACACTTTGTTTCTAGTGTGCTTTGTATTAGTAATCATGAACAGAATTCTTCCTAGTTACTAAAACCAATCCAGGCTGGAAATACATTGCAGGGAAGGTGTGAAGCCACTTGAAAGTAAGTGCTTTCAGTGTAACTCCAGTTTCATAAACTTTTACTGATTCTGAGAAGCAGGCAGAGGCCAACCCTGCAAAGGGCTGTGTTTTCTTGACCCATGTGTGACGAGCTCAAGGAGAGGTCATTCAAAACAAATAGAGGGGGAAAAGACCTGATGACCAAAGGAGCTCAGCCTGCCCCTGCCAGGCTCTCTTCAGGCCTGGCTTCTTTCTTGCCATTTCCATGAATAAGAAGGAAGGTCTTTGCATATTGTCTTCATCTTGTATTGTCACAGAGCAGGGCCCGTTACTTATTTTCACTTTGTACAGTGCATGCCCTTCCCCCATGGGGTTATGGTTTCCAGTCCACTTTCTTGAATGTTTGGTTTGTGCTTTACCCCTGAACTCTTTTGGAAGTTGGAATGGTCTCCATGTGACTGGTAAAAACACCAAGGCTTGGAGCTGGAGCCTCTGACGTGAGTGACTTTACCCTGTGTGCTCTCATTTCTGGGCTACAGCTTGGTACAGAACTGCTTCCTCCCTAGAAACACAGCCTTTGCTGAAGCCTAGGGAGCAGGTAGGCAAAGCAGATACCATGGGAAGCTTGGGGAGCGTGGTCGTGGCATCAAAGCTGTTACTTCTCTAGCCCCTGGGTGCATCCACCCTTAGGCCAGGTGGATGGCTTCACTTGAGTTATTCCAACCAGGCCCCATGAACCTGTAAAATGGGCTGGACAAAGAGAAGGTCAGGGAAGGAACAGCAAGCGAAATTGACTAGTAGAAATTGGCTGAAATCGAAGAACCGTAGGAAGGACAGGTACGAATGAGTTACAGGTAAACCAGATGGGTCCTTGCCCAGTCACATAGGAACTGTGGAGGATCTTAGTGGCCCCTGCCACTTCCTTTTATAAAACTGATCCACTAGGTTTTATCTATAACCCAGGTGGTTTTTATTAGGGTAACTACTGACTGAGAAATCAAAGCCCCATTACCTCTTCTTTTCAGCGTCAGAAATAGGATGTTATATGGTACAAGAGACCTTCAGATGACTTCCAAATGCATAATTCTACCTGGAGCCCAGAAACTGACAGTGGCCAGTGGCGCACAGCAGATTGGGGAAGCTCCCACTACCTGGTGCCGAAGTCTTGCTGTGCTTTTTAAAGGCTCAGAGGCTCTAGAAGGCCCGCTTAAAGTAGGTCTGATAATGAAAGTGGTTGCATTGGAATTGAGCCCTCAAAAATTAATAAAAAGATCTGTCTAATCACTTAGTTTGAATCATTAATTAAATGTTCAATGCAAACATTTTAAAGGAGAAATTGCAAACTAGAAAAAAAAATTCCCCTGAAAATATTTAATGTAAATAACTCCTTGAGATGGTGCTTTTTACAAAAGGTTTGTCGCAAATGCCGTTTTGTTTAGGGGACAGGACATCAGGAAATGATATGATCGTTTTCTATTTCAATGAGAGTAACAAGGAATCCCACCTGCCCCACCCCCATTCTTGCTCTATGTAGAAATTTGTCCAGCATGATGAGCAGCAGTCATCAGCGGGAGGTGGCTGAGCCCCAGGTGCCCAGAGAGTTTCTTCAAGCCACTACTTCTGTGCTCCCTCACTGTGTCCAGAGCCACTGGCCAAGACCACCAATTCACTTTCTGATTATATCTTTTCTGTCTTCGTATCTTTCAAGGCTTTGGTAATACAGCCGAAGGGTAACCATGTTGAAAACAAGCACAGGTTCTTTTACACATAACACTGTCAGCTCATGTTGGGTAAACACAGGAAGGCACACAATAAATTACAGCAGACCCTATCTCTTCAGAGGGTTTGTGGTGACCTCCAGGGTGGGGGCTGGGCCTGCCGGCAGCCGAGCATCCAGCACTGGGGTAGTGTGAGGACCACCCCGGGAAGGAGGGGGTCCTTCCTTAAGTCATGTCCGTATACAGGTCTCATGATCAAGTGGAGGAGAAAATCCTTGCCTTATCCAGTGCAGTGCGGCCTCTGCAGTAAGGAGGACCCTCCCCTCTGAGTGCCGCTCACCTGCCCACTTGGCCAGGTCCATCCGTGTTGGCACAAATCAACTGTACGTACACCCTTGTTGAGAACTGGTGGCAAATTAGTCCACAGGACTCCATCTGCTCCTTACTTAAGTAAATCACTTGGAAAACATAAAACTGGAGGTTGTAGCTCAGTAAAACAATAAAGTGCTTTCGATGAGGGTAGCTGTTATTTACCAGTTGTTTCTCGTTTCGCCTGAGGCACTGACATCAGTGCTATGGAAGGTGATAATGTTTACCACTGGTAAAAACTGTAAAAGCTTGTTTCCACTAAAAAGCCTGCATTTCTAAAATGTACTTTTTTCCTTTTGTTTCCATGTCTTCACGTTACTAAACGTGGTCTCACTACCCGGTAAGGAGATCGTTTATGCTGGGGTGGGGCGGGGTCGGGCGGCTAGAAGACACAAGAATAGAAAAGGAGCGGTTCATAAATATTCCTTAGGGGTTCCACTTGTGACGGTGAGAGAGGGGGTTATGGCAAAAAAGATGAGGCCCCGTGCTGAATCCAGATATGAGTCCCGAGGAGCAGAGACACAGATTGGCTTCTGGAAGGGTCCACATTCAACCTAAGACTTTATTCTCAGTCCACATGCTTGATAACTGCTATAACACACTTGCATCTTCCATGGCCTCGATCCACCTGTAAAACAGAGGAGAGGGCACACTTAGGTGTCACAGCTCTGAGACTCTGGTCAGAGAACCTAGAAGTGACCAGATGGACTAGGTGACTATTAGCCTGACATTGGGGACCATGTCATATTCATATTTGTTTCCCTAGCATTTAGCAAAAGGTCTGCTGAATCAAAGCATGCCTGTATGAACGAATCATGATAATCTTTAAAAAATCTTACAACCAGGAACAGGTTCTGTTCTGCTGTGGCCCAAAGGGGTTAAATGGTACAGGAGGCTGGAGCAGAGAGAAGCCAGAGCCCTGGGTAGCAACTTGTAGAGGGAGAGGCAAGGAGATACAGGCCTAGTTATTTGGGTACCTTTGAGCTGAATTGGTATCCTCTGCTTTGAAGCTATAAAATAGGGTTTTCTTGTGGTAGAGGTGAAAAATAGGTCCTACTTCACTGCTGCCCTCTTCCTTCTCTGGGGCAATGGTGAAACCGAGCAGAGGCATACTTTCCATGGCCACTGTGTCCTGCAGAGGGCAAAAGGGAAAACGATACTACACACGGCACTACACACAGTCAACTGCTCAGCATTTACTGTTCCCTCCGATTTCAGGTGCGCGACGAGCCCTTCTGTGTGAGGCATGGTTGGGCAACAGTGGAATAACCATACACATACTGTTCACCCCCTCTTCCCGCCAGGACCAGTCATGAGGAGAGAAAGAAACTTAACATTCTGTCACAGCCTATTAGGGTCCAGGCATTTTCATCTTTATATTATCTTGTTGAATCTTCACAACATCACAGAAGGTGTCACTCCTGTTCTAAGAAGACACTGAAGCTCAGAGAAGGTAAATAACTCCCTAAGATCACACAGGTTAGTCAGGAGCAGAGCCAGAATTTGGACTCATGACCACCTTCTAACACTGCATTCTTTCTGCTGACTTGATTAGTCAGAGACTCTGTTTTCCAGAATTATTCCAGATGATATCCCCAATACTCATTCCCCCACAGCCTATCCACGACGTCTCAATATGGAGCACGTAGGGTGTCTGTGCTATAAAGTTGCTAATACTGTGATGAGACCTTCACAGAGAACATAAATGGATCTTAAAAATCACAGTACTCAGTGGAAAAAGAGATTTTTGTATATAAACATATATTTACACATACATACTTATGTGAAAATACATGCTCATAAAATACAACTTTATGAAACCACACATAGACAAAGAGATAAAATTAGTTAAGCAATTAGTTAAGATATAATTAGCTAAGAAGGCTGTGGGAGGAGAAGGAGGAGGAGTTGAGGTTGTGTATAAAACGAAATCAACTTTCAAAGACCGCTGGATCAGGAAAAGCATCTAAACTCAGTATCGATTCATGATTAAAAAAAAAAAAACCCTCAGCAAACTAGAAGGGAACTTCCTTAATCTGAGGGCATCTATAAAATACCTACAGCTAACATCCTACTTAATAGTAAAATACTGAATGCTTTTCCTGTAAGATTGGGAACAAGGCAAGAAGGTGCTCGCTCCTACCAATTAAACTCAAAATTGCACTGGCCTAGTCATTGCATTAAGGCAAGAAGAAGAAAAAGTTCAGAAAAAGAAGAAGTTAAACTATCTGTGCTTGCAAAGGACTTGTTTGATTGTAAAACAACTACTAGAACCAATAATCAATTTAGCAAGGTCACAGGATAATCAATTTTTTTATATCTATTTACAGCAAACAACTGAAAATAAACTCCATTCAAAATAGCATGCAGGGGCGCCTGGGTGGCTCAGTCGTGAAGCGTCTGCCTTCGGCTCAGGTCATGATCCCAGGGTCCTGGGATTGAGCCCCGCATCAGGCTCCCTGCTCATTGGGAAGCCTGCTTCTCCCTCTCCCTCTGCTGCTCCCCCTGCTTGTGTTCCCTCTCTCACTGTCTCTCTCTGTCAAAAAATAAAATCTTTAAAAAAATAGCATGCAAAAAATAAAATAGGAATAAGGTTAACATAAATGCAAGAACAGAAGTATGAGACCTCTATACTAAAACTACAAAACATTAAAAGAAAAACTAAAGAACTAAGTAAATGAAGATTTATGCCATATTCATAGATTTGAAGAATTTCAATATTGTTAAGATGCCAACTCTCCCCAAATTGATTCAACAATCTCTGTCATCATCTCAGGCTTTTGGGTAGAAATTGACAAGTTTATATGGAAACACAAAAGACCTAGAATACCCAATCTTTTAAAAAGAACAATGTTGAAGGGGCGCCTGGGATATTCAATCAGGCATCAGACTGGTGACTCTGGCTCAGGTCAGTCATGATCTCATGGGTCATGGGACTGAGCCCTGTGTCAGTGAAAGTCTGCTTGAGATTCTCTCCCTCTGCCCCTCCCCCCACTTCTGTACGCACATGCACACTCTCTAACAAACAAACAAACAAACAAATAAATAAAAGAACAATGTTGAAGGCTTATACAGTCTGACTTCAAGACTTACTATAGAGTTCTGGTGATTAAGGCCGTAAGGTATTGGCATAAGATTTCATAAATATATCAGTGAAACAGAATAGAAAACTCAGAGATAGCCCCAAATGTATTTAGTCATTTGAATTTTTTTTAATTTTTATTTTTTTAAAGATTTCATTTATTTTTTGACAGAGAGTGAGATAGCGAGAGGGAACACAAGCAGGGGGAGTGGGAGAGAGAGAAGCAGGCTTCCCGCTGTGCAGGGAGCCCAATGCGGGGCTCATGACCTGAACCGAAGGCAGATGCTTAACGACTGAGCCACCCAGGTGCCCCTAGTCATTTGATATTTAACGAAGGCACCAAAATAATCCTATAGGGAAAGGAAAGTTTTTTCTAAACAAGTGGTGGTGGAATAATTGGATATCCATATGGAAAAAAAATGAACACCACCCCCTGTCTCATACCATACTCAAAATTAATTTCAGATAGACCTGAATGTAAAAACTAAAACATTCAAGTTTTCAGAAGCAAATACAGGGGAACAACTTTGTGACTTGCAGTAGACTAAAAGTTTCTTGTGATATGAAAAGCAACAGCCATAAAGGAAAACACTAATAAATTAGGTTTCATTTAAGTTAAAAACTTCTGTTCACCAAAAGAACAGAACAAATTCATTCGTTAAGAAAATGCACAGGCAAGCCACAGACAGGGAGAGAATATTCACAAAACATTTATCTGACAAAAGACTGGTATCCAAGATACGTAAAGAATTCCTGTAACCCAATAATAAGACAACTTACTTAAAAAAATATGCAAGAGATCTGAACAGACACTTCTCAAAGGGAAATACAGAAATAGCCAATAAGCACATCAAAAACATCATTAGTTACTAGGGAAATCTAAATTAAAACCACACTGAGATACTAGTAAATTAATGACTGACAATACCAAATGTTAACTAAGATGTGGAGCAACCAGAACTCTCAGACTTACATACATTGTTGAGGGGAGGATAAAATGGTAGACCACTTTGCGAAAGGGCTGTAATTTCTGATAAATCAAACATATACCTTCCTATGATCTAGAAATTCCAATCCTAGGTGTCTACCCAAGTGAAATAAAAACCTATTTTCATATAAAAACCTCTATACAAAAGTTTAAAGTGACTTTATTCATAATTACCAAAAACCAGAAACAACCCAAATGTCCTTCAACTGATGAATGGAATAAACACATGGTATGTTCACAACATGGAATACTACTCAGCCATAAAATGTCATGACCTACTGCTGTATTCAAAAACATGGATGACTCTCAAACACCTCATGCTGAGTGGGAGAGGTCACATTTATATGTGATTTGATTTATATGAAGATTCTAAAAGAGTTAGTAAAACTAATCTATGGTAGAAAAAATTCAGAACAGTGTGCTGCCTGTGGGGACAGGAATGAGGTGGGGATACCACAGGTAAACAACAGGGGTTCATGATAGTACACACAGTGAAAACTGGCTATCCATTTTATCAAACCTTTTTTCTTTGATGGAATTTGTGAGCCTAGTCCTATCACTTGCATGGTCTTATTAAGAAATTGTACTAGTTCTTTATGGAAAAAACTACTTTGGAAGCATACTTAAAATCCACCTTTTAAAATCAACTCAGGGTGTTACTTCCAATAACAACTGTTGCTCAGGACCTACAGAATGGACACTGAGAATGGGTTTTCCATTCTCAGACAGGATTCGCCTCTTTGGTGGTTATTTAATTATCACTAGCCTTCATTCACCTGTCTAAGACAGAGTTTCTTCCCAAAGAGTGGTCCATGGGATGGGAGAGTCCCATGAGACACCCCATGAGGAAGGGCCTGTGGTCAGGCCAGCTTGGGAAATCCCCTCATTCAGAGATCCACAACACATCTGGGTACATTACAGATTCTAAGAAGTACTCCTACTAACTGCCTACTCAGGGTCCCCTCAGAATCCATTGTTTAGAGAACCCCTGTGAGCATCCTGTGTAATACCTACTTTGGAAGATGCTGCCCTGGGCTGCAGGTGGGCATCACATCACATTTCAGTTTGTTCTGGAAAGATCAAAATTCTCCTCAGCTCCTCTGTGGGCATGTCAGTGAGGGCACTGGAGTCACTCAGGCCTACTGTGGGTCCCCCTCTGTCTGTCTGCGTCCCTGCCGGCCTCTGGGATTCCCTGAGGGACGGGCAGGCTGCAACCATCACAGCTACCGGTTTTTTGTAAGAGAACGTTTATGCCCCCAAAAGAAAGTGTCTTTTGCACCTTCGCCAGCATCTGGGGTCGGGGTAGAAGCGCCAGCCCTGTGCTGATGTGACTATCCTGCTGGGGTTAAAAACACATGCTCAGCAGCTGGGCTCTTAAGTCCCGTTTTCGAAGCGGGTTTAGCCCGCGGAAGCCACCGGATGGTGGGGGCTAGACATGGAAATCCTTCAAACTATCACCCAGCGTCAGCCTGGGTCAGGACCAGACAGCCACCTGCTGTATAACAGAGCCCGCACCCGGCTGCTCTGGAAGCAGGCTTCACTTCCAAGGCCGTCCAAGGCCCTCCTACATTTTATGTGTAAAGGTCAGACGCTCTGTAAAAAGTATCAACTGAAGTTGTATTTAGTAGAAACACTACCACGAAACAGTGTAGTTCCCTGGAGTGCCTGGCTTGTGCTAGATGCCGGGCCTGTGACCTTCAACACTCGGGTGCACAGGTCTGCAAGCTGTCCCGCCGTATCTCCACAGAGAGATGGTAAAGTCCTTCCACTTGGAACCTACACGTGGTTCTGTCTTTGTGGCAACACTCAGCACATGGTACTGCTCGACACAGACTGGAGTGGTACGGGAACTGGAACCCGCATCCAGCCTCACACCGCCCTGCAGGCGATGGGGTGTTGGGCATACCCACGGGGACATTCTGAGGCATGAGCTTAACCGGAGGGCCTTCACAGGTGAGAGGAGAGAGAGCACGAACCACCACTACCTCACTGGCCATGTAGGTGTAGAGCACTTTGCCTTTGATGACAAACCAGAGCTTCTTCCAGTGCCTCTTGCCTTTCTTGCACCGGCTCAGATAGCCACTGATGGCGGAGCCCTCTCCCGAGGCGGCCACCTGACAGAAGAGAAGCAGAGTGGTCAGGGCACCAGGGGGTAGGCATGGTTCAGGCGGAGCTAAAATGACAGTGCAAACCAGCTGGCAGAGCGTGTATACTGCTTTGAAATCTGAGACTCGGATGAGGTCTCGGGACACATCCAGCACCTCAAAAGAGCACAACAGTACCAGGGATTAAGACAGGACTTACTGAGTGGGCCCAGGAGACACACGATCAAAAACTGCCTTCAGGAGTGTTGCCCCAAGTGGTGTTTCAGATTCTTGGCTCCCTCTCCCCAACCCACAAGGCCCCATAATACAAAACTGCAAATATCTGGGGGAAAGGCTCTTCCTTCTAAAATTGATTCTTACAAGATTTAATAGGTATTCTTCTCAACATTTTATTCAAAAAAAAAAAAAATAGAAAAGGAAGGAAACCTATGAGGCCAGCATTACTCTGATACCAAAACCAGATAGAGAAACCACTAAAAAAGAGACCCACAGGCTAAATATCTCTGATGAACATAGATGCAAAAACCCTCAACAGAATACTAGCAAGCTGAACCCAACAATACATTAAAAAAATCATTCACCACTATCAAACGGGATTTATTCCTGGGATGCAAGGGTGCTTCGATATTTGCAAATCAATCAACGTGGTACATCACGTTAACAAAAGAAAGGATAAGAACCATATGGTCATTTCAATAGATGTAGAAAGAGCATTTGACAAAGCACAACATCCATTCATGATAAAAACATTCAATAAAGTAGGTTTAGAGGGAACACACCTCAACATAATAAAGGCCATATATGAAAAATGCACAGCTAATATTATCCTAAATGCAGAAAAACTGAGAGCTTTTCCTCTACAGTCAGGAATAAGACAGGGGTGTCCACTCTCACCACTTTTATTCAATATAGCACTGGAAGTCCGAGCAACAGCAATCAGACAACAAAAAGAAAGAAGCATCCAAATCGGGGTGCCTGGCTGGCTTAGTCGGTGGAGCATGCGACTTTTGATCTTGGGGTCATGAGTTTGAGCCCCATGTTGGGTGTAGAGATTACTTAAAAAAAAGGCATCCAAAGGAAGGAAGAAGTAAAATTTTCACTATTTGCAGATGACATGATACTGTATAGAAAACCCAAAAGACCCCCAAGAACTGTTAGAACTGATAAACAAATTCAGTAAAGTCACAGGACACAAAATCAATGTACAGAAATCTGTTGCATTTCTATACACCAATAATGAAGCAGCAGGAGAAATTAAGGAATCAATCCCATTTACAACCTCACCAAAAACAATAAGATACCTAGGAATAAACCTAACCACAGAGGTGAAAGACCAATACTATGAGGACCTATAAAAACCCTGATGAAAGAAACTGAAGATGGCACGAAGAGATGGAAAAACATTCCATGCTCATGGACCAGAAAAACAAATATTGTTAAAATACCTATACTACCTAAAGCAACCTACATATTTAATGCAGTCCCTATCAAAATACCACTGGCATATTTCACAGAGCTGGAACAAAACAATCCTAAAATTTGTGTGGAACCACAAAAGTTCCTGTTTAGCCAAAGCAACCTTGAAAAGGAAAAGCAAAGCTGGAGGCATCACAATTCCGGACTTCAAGTTATATCACAAAGCCGTACTCATTAAAACAGTATGGTACTGGCACAAAAACAGATACAGAGATCGACAGAACAGAATAGAAAATGCAGAAATGGACCCACAACTATACGGTCAACTAATCTTGGACAAAGCAGGAAAGAATATCCAAGAGGAAAAGACTGTCTCTTCAACAAATGGTGTTGAGAGAACTGGAAAGCAACATGCAGAAGAATGAAACTAGTCCACTTTCTTATCATACACAAAAATAAATTCAAAAATGGGTTAAAGACCTAAATGTGAGACCTGAAGCCATAAAAATCCCAGAGGAGAACACAGAGAGTAACTTCTTTGACAGCAGCTACAGCAACTTCTTTCTAAATATGTCCCCTGAGGCAAGGGAAACAAATGCAAAAATAAATTATTGGGACTTCATCAAAATAAAAAGCTTCTGCACAGCAAAGGAAACAATCAACAAAACTAAAAGGCAACCTTTGGAATGGGAGAAGATAACTGCCAGTGGCATATCTGATGAAGGGTTAGTATACAAAATACATAAATCCTTTATAAAACTCAACACCCAAAAAACAAATAATCCAATTAAAAAGTGGGCAGAAAACTTGAACAGCTATTTCTCCAAAGAAGACATCCAGATGGCCAACAGATACATGAAAAGATGTTTATCCTCACTTATCATCAGGGAAGTGCAAATCAACACTGCAATGAAAAGCCACTTGACACCTGTCAGAATGGCTAAAATCAACAACACAAGAAACAACAGGTGTTGGTGAGGATGTGGAGAAAGGGGAACCCTTCTGCACTGTTGGTGAGAATGCAAATTGGTACAGCCACTGTGGAAAATGGAGGTTCCCCAGAAAGTTATGGAGGTTCCCCAGAAAGTTAAAATAACTAACCTACCATCTAGATCTAGCAATCACACTACTGGGTATTTACCCAAAGAATACTAAAACACTAATTCACAGGGATACATGTACCCCAATGTTTATAGCAGCATTACCAACAATAGCCAAGATATGGAAGCAGCCCCGGTGTCCACGAATTGATGAATGGATAAAGAAGATGTAGTAAATATATTCAGTAGAATATTACTCAGCCATGAAAAAGAATGAAACTTTGTCATTTGCAATGACATGGATGGAGCTAGACAGTATTATGCTAAGTGAAATAAGTCGGTCAAACAAAGACAAATACTGTATGATTTCACTCATATGTGGAATTTAAGAAACAAAACAAATGAGCAAATGGGAAAAACAAGAGAGAAAAAACCAAGAAACATACTCTTAACTATAGAGAACACACTGATGGTTGCCAGAGGGGAGAGGGGTGGGGGATGGATGAAATAGGTGATGGGGATTTAGGGGGGCACTTGTGATGAGCACCGGGTGATGTATGAAGTGTTGAATCACTATATTGTGCACCTGAAACTAATAAACACTGTATGTTAACTAACTGGAATTTAAATAAAAACTTGAAAAAATAAAAAAACCCACACATACATGCTCAAAAAAATAAACTTGATTCTTACACTTTTTAAATTTTTAAAATATTTTATTTATTTTAGAGAGAGCACGTGAACACAAGTGGGGGGGCAGAGGTAGAGACAAAATCTCAAGCAGACTCCATGCTGAATGTAGAGCCTGATGTGGGCTCAATATGGGGCTCAATCTCACGATCCTGAGATCGTGACCTGAGCCAAAACCAAGAGTCAGAAGCTCAGCTGACTGAGCTACCTAGGTGCCCCTCATTTATAAGCTTATCTCTTATATTTAAGGATGGATCCTCTTTGTAATGTTTACTTAAAAGGTTTTATAATCTTCTTCCTAATTGGGAGGGGGCGGTTAATTCCTGTTGTTATTAGTAGAAGTAGGATTTGTCTGTTGCACAGTCTTTATATGGGCGTTCAGAACACAATACAGGTTTGGAGAAATACCAGTCTGGGGTTCCAGCCCAGGTTCTCCCAGTTATTTGATGGGCAATGTGGGCAATTTACTTCTTCTAAGTCTTAGATTCCCTACTAGCAAAACTGGAGTCAATGACCTAAGAGAGGTACCTGACAGGTATAGTGCCTGGCCCACAGAACTGCTCAAAATACTAATCTTACTATTGGGGCAAGAAGGCCAGGTCTGGAAATAATTTCATCTGACTTTCCCATTTTACAGATGGGGAAACTGACGCCTGGAGGAATGGAGGTTATCTACTGAAGGTCAAATCTCTACTTAGTTGAAGAGAGGGTAGAGAACTTGGATCTCCTGGCAAATACTCCGAAGGTCAATGAACTTCAATGCAGGGAAAGGAGGCCATCACCTACCTGGGATTTTTTTTTTTTTTTAAAGATTTTATTTATTCATGAGAGAGAGAGAGAGAGAGGGAGAGAGAGAATGAGCGGGGGAAGGGCAGAGGCAGAGGGAGAAGCATGCTTCCCACTGAGCAGGGAGCCCGATGCGGGGCTCGATCCCAGGACCCCAAGATCATGATCTGAGCCGAAGGCAGACGCTTAACGACTGAGCCCCCCACACACCCAGCCTGGACTGTTTTAAGAGGTACCAGGAAAGGAGCCTGTGTCCGCCACAGGTTCCAGGACTCCCAGCACCAGACACAGGCTTTCTCTCCCTGCACTTGCCCTGCCAGGGCAGCTCGCAGAGTGAGGAAGGCAGAGTGGACAGAGTATGTCAGGGGAAGCCGATTCTGACCTCCCTTTCTGGCAGGTGATCGGAGAGGCAGCATTTCCGCAGACTTTGTCATGGGGAGCAGGGCTTACTGTTAAGGTGGAGCTCCTGCGGAAAAGGGACAGGGCAGCGGGTGACAGGTGGGGCACATTTCTCCTGGGGCTGCTGCAAATCCCACTAAGTGCAGTCTTTGCTAGGTAATAAAAAGGTTGTCACTTTGAGCAAAAATTACCAAAGGGCTAGCTAGGACACCAGCATCAGAGACAGCTGGACTCTAGAAGGCTAAGAGCAGCGGTTCTCAAACTGTGTGCCCATGGAACACTCAGGTTCTGCCCAGCAGGAGTGAAAAGGTGATCTTTTCTCAATTGGTGGAAAGGGACTAGGTTAAATAAATGATGCTACAACCATACAATGTGAAAAGTATGAGATTTGTATGTGTGAGCAAATGTGGAATGATAGCTAAGAGAAATTAAGTGTGAAGAGTGTATAGAAGATTCAGTACAATTTACCTTTTCAGTAAAAAAAAAAAAAAGGATCAATGGATGTACATCTTTAGTATGTATATGCATTAAAATTTCTGTAAGGATCCCTAAGAAACTTGATGGTGGTTACCTCTGGGAGTAGGTGGGACTGGAGGAGTTCGGGGAGGGAGAGAAACTCATGTTTCATCAGGTATTCTTTTGTGCTGTTTTGAAAAAAAATTTTTTTTACCATGTATGTGTTATTCCCAAGATTTTTAATATGCAAAGGAATTAAGTAAATGAGTAGAACTGTACCCCTTTAAAATTTCCATACCCTAACACTTTTTGAAACTTGCACCTTGCCACCTGCTACTCAATAATGAATATTAATGCAAAAACTTGGAAACAGCTGATCTTCTTTTGACAGCTTGTATATTCATGGGCACACATTTGTTTGTGGTTGTGACCAGAATACAGACATATAATCTGGCCCTCCTTATAGGATAGACTTGAATTTAAGCAATTCTGAGGCTTCCTGCAGACAGTCCCACATCCTCCAGGACGCTCAGCACCCGAGGCCCTTTGGGACCCGCAGGCTGAAGCGGACAGCACAGCTCCGAGGGCCTGCTAGGGAGGGCTAAGCCAGGACTGTGGCTGTTTTAGTCAGAAGAACCCCAGTGATCTGTGCACTACCCATGGGGACCAGGTCTAGGCCATGGGACAGGAAAGAAAGTAAGGAGAAAAAAAGAAAGACTTGGAGGGGAGAGAGGGATGGGAAAGACTTCTAGCACCATCTACATTTCGGGTCCCACCTTCTGCAACCCAGCAGGCATGTTCTCAGTCACGCCCAGGAGACAGGCCCTTGTTAGTGGTGAGTCAGTCCTTGTCACAAGAGTGTCTCCCATTGGGAATTCTCTTTGTCCTGAAGAGCTCAGCCAGGCTGGGGGAGGTCATACCCTGTCCACCGAGGAGGACCATGAACCTTCTAAATCCCTTGCCTCCCACATAGGCAGTCCGCCTGCCTTACCTCGGTCAGGGCCGAAGGGACCTTCTTCTGTTTCTTGAAGGTCGAGGGGTTGATGCCGTGGAAGACAGACGAGAAGGCACTGCTCGAGAAGCGGGGGGAGGACAGGGGGAAGCTCATGCTCACGGGCCGCTCTGTAACCAAGATAAGCCACAGGGGATGGGAGGTGAGTGTCCACATGGACAGGCATGCTTCTTGCTTTGGAATGCCAATTCCTATAAAATTGGAGCTCTGGGTCCCTCCTGAGATGGGAATCAGCCTCATGAGGGGGATCAGGTGTGACCACAAAGACAGGCACACTCCCTCTGATGACATGAAGGCCACGGGGGCCAAGAAGGAAGGCTTTTCCTGGGTGCTGGCTATCCCTTCTTCACCTGGGCTGTCCTCTGTGATGGCCTCCGGTGGCCCCACAGAGGAGAAATCTTTGGTTTTGGGCCCAGTATACACTTGCTGTCCCTCTGGCCCAACCCTGCTTGGGCAAAGCTTGTACCCCGAGCACAGTCTCTCAGGGGCCAGCTTGGCTTCCTCAGGATCCTTTATCACTCAAGGAGCCCTCAGCCCTTCCCTGATCCACACCTCCTCTGCTATCTGTCTCAAAATCCTTATCCTGGAAAGGTCCCATAGAACACAAGCCTACAGAACATTTTCAAAAAGAGGGTCACCATGGCAAAGTATACCTGAAGCACAACACCTGCCATCCCCCTCACAGAGAGGCACTGCCCCAGCGTTTCCCAAGCTTAGCTGCCCACAGACCCTTCTGGGAGTGCCTATCGATTTCCCATGGAGCCAACATTTTGGGAAATGGTGCCCCAGGCATGAGTTTAAACCCTTATTTCCTCCTTCAGGGCTGCTTTTGTTCTGAACCTCCACAGGAATGTGGTTTCAGGCACAACCAGGGGCCAGCGAGAAGCCACCCGGAAGAACAGTGGTGCCCAGGTTACCTCTCATCAGGCCTGGGACATCCCCGCCCCTCTTCTTCAGCTCCCCATAGCAGCCGTCACAGACCTTGGCCATCCGGTCCTTGAGGTACTTCAGAGGGTACTTGTTTCTTGAACAGTTCCGGCACACAATCTGCAAGCCCGGTTGGGGACATACGTTGGAACGGTTCTCACCCTCTGCATGTGCACGTGCAGAGGACCAGCATCTTCTCCCCTCTGCTGACTCACCCCCCACCTCTCCAGGTACTGTTCTGAGCACAGGACTGTGCCAGGTCCCCCTGCTTTTCCATCGTGGAGACACAGAGTTTCTGTGCAAGTGCCTATCAGTTTTTCTGATGAGCCCTCAACCAGGACATGATACTTTTTCTCCAAAGACAATAACCACGTGTGCTAGGATTTCTTTTGGGAATGCAGTGGTGGAATGGAATGGGATTTGGAGCCCTGGTTTGAGGCTCTCAGTACAATGGGGCCTCCCAAGGTTAATGTGAAAACACCCGCCCTGAGCCCAACAGTAACTGCTGGATGCCCGAGTGCCCACCCCACACGACCCTAAGTTCACACTCACCCAGATGAGGTGACTCACCTTGCCACAGGCGTGGCAGTGGTGACGCCTCAGGGTGAGGGAGAAGTCGCAGCCACAGTTCATGCACATCATAACATGTGTGACGGGCACCAGAGTGGGGGGCCTCTCCCCCAGGCTGACCCCCAGCCTCTCCCGTATCTGGAGCAATGGAATGGGGTGAGCGGTGTGGTCAGGAGATGGCTAGATGGGTGCCCTCTTTCCTGTACAGGGTATGGGATGGATTCTAATTCTACAACCCCCTCCACCCCATGGCATCCTCTAGGATGCTAACCTTGGGTCAGAAACAGAGCCAACTGGAGGTGCTGTGCTTGGGCCTGGCCATGGGGGAGCTGGTGGGAGGGGTGGGAGGAGGAGCCCGATGGAAGGAGCTGAGAGTCCTTCTGGATGTGTGGGTGCCCAGGGAAACCCAGGGCTGTGAGGCCACTGCCAGGTGGGTGTCAGGGCCCCACTCACCTCCACACTGTGGTGAAAGGCAGCCAGGGCCTGGGCCTTGTAATCCTCAGGGAGGGCTCTGCTCAGACAGCTGTGCCACTCGTCCCGCTCTGCGCAGGAGCTGCGGGCGCAACGTGGCGTGAGCAAGGCATGCAGCATGCACAGCGGCTCGGCCTCTGCTTCTCAGTGTAGATCAAGTCCCCCCACCTTTCCCCTGGCCGGGCCTCTCGGTGTCTGAGATCCCACCAAGCACCGGCCGGCCGCCAGACCGGCCTAGCATTGTACCTCAGCGCCTCCATCTACTAGCAGGGCAGCCAGGGCAAGAAAGCTGTCCTCTGGGCCTGCTTCTTTCCCTGCAACACACGGGACTCTCAACGCTATCCCTCTAGCTACCAGAGCTGCTGTGGGGAAGAAATGACGTGTGGGTTTGTTAATGGCAAAGCACTGTGCAGAAGCAAAGGGCATTAGGGAGGTGCAGAGGGCCCCACCCTTAGGAGGGATGGGGCGGGGGGGGCAGGGTGCAGAGGGCCCCACCCTTAGGAGGGACGGGGCGGGGGGGGGCAGGGTGCAGAGGGCTGTGTACACGGGGAGGGGAGGGGAGGGGCAGGCGAAGATGGAAAAGTTCAACGTCCCTGTCGCCGCCCCATCTTCCTCCTCATTTTCCCACAGTTTCCCAGACACTCCCTCACCCAACAAGTTGGCTTCCCAAATCCCCATTCTGCACCGTGCCCTGCAGGGTTTTCTGAGTGGTGAGTGCAGTTCCAAGAGATAGCGGGGTGAAAATTCTCCCAGGGCCCACTAGGTGTCGCTCCCACCCTGAGTAAGAGTGTGGCCTGCCCCAGGAAAGCCAGGAGAAGGGACCAGGTTGGCCTGGGAGGGAGGTGGGGGTAGGGGGAATGGACAACCAGATGCCATGTCCCCGAAGGGAGATGTATGGGTCCGCCTGTCTCCTGGAAGCTTCAGCATGAGTATCTGGGTGTGCAGGAAGGTGACCGGCCTGTCAGTGACAGCGGATCCTCGAGGCCACTGGCCAAAGGGCAGTGCCCCTGCCTAGCAGAGATGGGCAGCCTCATCTGAAGGGCTGAGTGTGGCCTGTCACCATCCCCACCTCACAGCTGGACATATAGAAACCATACCCCGGGCCGTCTCAGGCCCCTGACTTTACCTAGAGATGAGGAGAAAAGATGCCATGGAACCCCATCTAGGCATCACCTCCTCCACGAAGCCTTCCCTCACTTCCCCAGATGGGTGGTCACTCCTTGGAATTTTCAAGGTTTCTTCTACCCACTCGGCAGTAGACAGTAGTGGATAAGAGCTCTGGGTCACACAGTCCTGCATTTGAGCCCCAGTTCCTCCTCACATGGCCATGTGACTCCTCTCTAGGCCTCAACTCCCCATGCATGGGAGAAGTCTCAAGCCCCACAGCCAAGGGTGGGGATGGGGTCAGAGGAGGTGCCTACTGTATGTTACTCTTGTCATCAACACTTTTAACTACTACAGCAGTTATGCTCTATATCATGACCAATACGTAACTCTCCTGCCCTTAATGTAGGCTTCCCCCGAGCACAGCAAGGTTTAACTCTTGCGTCCTCAGCACAGGACCTGGCACGGAGCAGTGGCTAATAAATGCTGAAGGAGTAAATGCAACTGCATGAGAATGTGTCAGTGCGTGCGCATCCTGTGCCGGCCCAGGAACCACCACCCCACCCAAAGGGCACTGCTGCCACCCCCAGGTCAGGTACCAGCTGAGAGGGGAGGCAGACACCCATGTCTTGGGGACCCGGTCCCAGCCCCCACAGTGCCCACAGTGGCCCCAGCAGGGGCCACATCTCCCTGGTTTCTGAGCCCAGGGAGCTCGAGCTGGCCTTGCCCGGAAAGAGGGAGGGGGGAAGCTCTTTTGCTGCCTAGAGTAAGCGAGGCGGGATCCCTGGGTAGCCGAAGGCCTGGGGAAAACACACACACTTCTGATAGAGAGGCCACACCCCCGAACCAGGGAAAGGCAAATGATGAATGCTCACTCATTCACTCTCCGGATATGAAAGCCTAAAAGCAGACCACTTTATAAACTAAAGTGCACGATGCATTTTTTACTCGCCTTAACCTCTTGCATTGCTGTAAAGACCCAATAATTCGTAGACTTTTACAAACATGAGATATTGTTGTTATATTTAAATGACAGGCTCTAGAAAATAAGTCCCTTAACCCAAAATAATACCAAAATAGAAGTGACACATCCAGGTTATTATGCCAACCTTTAACACCTGCAAAATCCTGCCCCTTTATCCCTCAGACCCTCCCTCTACCCACCTCCCCATACCTCGCAGATAGAGTCAGGCAGGACTGGGAAGTCTCGATCTTTAGAGCATAGGGCACTTTCTCCATCACAGGACGACTGACCTAGAAAACCAAGAGCAGACTGTCAGGGTGGGGGCAGGGAGGGGCAAGCACAGACCCGCCTCTTCTGGTCCTGACACAGTGGCTCCGACTCTGGTCTGTGGGCACCTATCCACCCCCAGGAAGGTGGGTATGTTCTCTAAAGGACTGGAAGCAGGCTCTGTACAGGTATCTGTATACTTGGTTCAAAGCAGCATTATTCATTGTAGCCAAAAGGTGAAAGGAACTCGTGTCCATCCATGAACAAATGGAAAAAAAAATGTGGTCTATATGTACAATGGAATATCATTAAGCCATAAGATGGAAGGACATTCTGACACAAGTTGCACATGGATGCACCTTGAGGACATCCTGCTAACTGAAATAGGCCAGTCACAAAAAGACAAATACTGTATGATTCTATGTACATGAATTATCTAGAGCAAATTCCTAGAGACAAAAAATAGGATAGTGGATGCCAGGGGTTGGGGGCTGGAGGAATGGGGAGTTAGGAATGGGGCTAGAGTTTCATCTGGGGATGATACAAAAGTTCTAGAAATGAATGGTGGTGATGGTTGCACAGTAGTGTGAATATACTTAATGTTGCTGAACTGTATACTTAAAAATGGTTAAAATGGTAAATTTATGTTATGTATATTTTACCATAATTTAAAAATCTTTACTGAACACCCACTTATTTCCTCCCTCCAAATGTGTCCTTATGTGTTTTCCTCTTTTTAGGATGCCCTTCCCTTTCCCCTTTCCCATCTGTCCAAATATTATCTACCCTAAAGAATTCCGCTGCCTCCCTTTGGGAAATCCTCCTTCCCTCTCTCCACACTCCCTGGACTACCTCCAGCACAATCCTGCTATAACCCACAGTGTAACGCTGTTTCCTCAGGGCTGCCTCTTCCTGCTGGTCTATGTGCTCCTAGAAGTGGGGATGCCGTCTTTCCTACCCTGAGGTCTCCCTCGGACCACCCACCCCAGGGTGCCTGGCACCAGGCATTTACCTTCATGCTGGCCACTGACAATGTGTTCTTCAGCCGGTATTTCCCGTCCTTCTGGGGATACGTATACAGGAGCACATCGCTCATCTGGGGAGAAGGAAACCCCATCAGACGTGAAGGTTGTAGGGTGTCTGTCCCGGAGGATCACTGAGCTCTGGAGAGCATGGGCATCTTGCATTCCCCAGTGACCCTCATAGGAGAGCAAAACCACTCTGAGCAAACACATGAGTCCCTTCCTTTAAATTCCACTCCGAGGTCGATAGTTAAGAGGAATAAATGCAGATGTCCACAAAAGGTCAAGTACAGGAATGTTCATAGAGGCTTTATTCATAACAGCCAAACAGTGGAACCACCCCAAATATCTAATCAACAGGTGAATGGATAAATGAACTACAGTACATCCATACTGTGGAGAACTACATAGCAAAAGGAACTGATGGTCCACATAATAGCATGGACAAATCTCAAAAACATGCTAAGTGAAAGAAGTCAGACACAGAGTGGTACACACTGCTTCATAACATTTATATAGGCAAAACTAATATGTAGTGACGGAAATTAGGCCAGTGGTTGCTTGGGGCAGGGGATAGGGAAAGTGAGTGCTAAGGGGCCCAGGGGAACTTTCAGGGGGGATGGTCTAGAAATATTCTATATCTTGACCCAGGTGGTGGTTACACAATGACACATATTAGTCAATAGGCAGGTACGCACACTTAAGATTGATATATTTTACTCTACAAATGAAACTGTCATAAAGTATAGTTAAGGAAGGGAGAGAGGAAGGGGGAGAGGAAGCTCCTTGATAGTGAGCTGATGGGTCCTGGTCACTGGTGTATCTCCAGTGACCACAGCAAGTACTCCATATTTGTTGAATGAACAACTGAAGGTCCTTGCCCCCATCTGGGGCAAATGGAAAGAAAGTGAAAGTCACCTCACCTCCGTAGGGGAGCGTGTTTCTGTTTGGCTAAAAGGTTTATAGTCTGAAAGACGATGTCAATCCTCACCCTGCTCTGTAGCTGTGCAACTGTGGGTGGACAAGTTGGCTCCCTCTCTGAGCCTCACCTTCCTCCCTGCAAAGCAGGGGGGCAGTGCCACCCTACCTCATTATGGACGCTGAGAAAGAATGGCCCCCAGTGAGCCCACCCAACGTGGGAGCCAGCGTAAGCTAGGAGTGTTGTGAGGACTGAACACGACAAGGCATCTAAGGGGCTAAAACAGAGCAAGAACTCAGGATTAGCATTTCCTCCCCCCATAGAGAGTCTGCTGAGGGAACAGAATAGACGAGGCTTCTTGCCACCAGCTCTTAGGATCCCAGCATCACAGCCAGAGCAGTGTAGGAGACCTGGCCTGGACCCAGAGCTGCTGGTGAGCTCAGGCAAACCCTTCCTCTCTCTGGACCTCACTGTCTCTAATCAGAGTTGGAGGAGACCAGGGACCAGCAAACTTTTTAATAAAGGGCTAGATAGTAAATATTCAAGTCTTTGCGGGTCATAGAGTCTCTGTCACAACGATTCAACTCAGCCACTGTAGTCTAAAAGCATTCACAGACCATCCATGAGCTGTGTTCCAATAGACCTTTATTAACAAAAACAGGTGGCAGACTGACCCCAGGTCAGAGGAACCTTCAAAGCCCCTTCCAGCTCTGCCCTTCTAATAATGACAAGACTCACTCTGTGCCAGGGGCTGAGCTCAGCACCCTGATTTCAGTTCAGCCCCCAACAATCCCATCAGGCAGGCTCTACCATTATCATCCTCATTTCACAGAGGGAGAAACTGAGGCACAGAGAGCCCTGACAACCTGCCCAAGGTTACAAAGCTTGTAAGTGGCAGCGGCAGGGTCATATGTAAATGAATGCGCCTCCAGTGTGTTCAGGTGTGGTGTGTTGGAGGTGGTCACACGGTGAGTCCTGGCCCCATCTGGGGACAGTGACCAAACCTGGGCACAGAGCCTGGCTCATAAGCCTGCCCACCCTGGGGAACTGGCTCATGTCACTCATCAGAGCAGTCCCAGCCTTTGTGTGGCTGCCCCTCAAGCACCTGCTACCATGGCAACTGCCATTAGCACCCTGGGGTTTTATGAGTGGTCAGGACCAGGCTGCCTCCCACTGCCCAGAGTTCTTTCCTCTTCAAAGCGGGTGTTTTACAGCCTGATTTGGAGGAAGATAGAGGAATTCTTCGTGGAGGAGTGAAGGGGAATCTCTCAAAATAATAAGCCCCCAGTGCGGAGCCCCACCTACTACCTGGGGCCATGGTGGGAACCTCTCTGTAGCATTACCAAAACCCCTGTGCAGGTGGGCAGATGCCCTGACTTTGTTCTACAGTTACAGTTATTTTATGAAACTGGCACCTTATGGGGAAGAAAAAGTCTTAAGTGTGTTCATCATGGGTCTTCCTGGCTCAAGAACCTATCTTCCTCCCACCTCTTTCTCCAGGGGAAATTTATGAAGGTCCTGTGCTAAGACAGAGCAAAGAACGGGACCCAGGTTCAGCCCGCGGGGAGCTATGGCCTAATAATAACAAGGGAATAAGAGACACCCAGGCCTAGCATCGAGATGCCTGAGGGAGAGGCTATGATGAAGGGCCAGTTAGATGCTGGAGGGCATGTGAGGGAGGGGAGGAGGGAAAGAAGGACAGACGCTGTGTGTTCCCTGGCTGTCTGGGTCCCTGTGAGAGGCAAAGGCACGAGCAGGGCCTGGCCAGAGGAGGTGGCCAGATGGGGAATGGCTAGGGGACCAGCACGGAGCTCCCTCTGTTCCAGCTGGGGCTTCACTCCCTTCCCCCACTGGCAGGAGGGACTATTACCCCACTGTAAAGAGAAGGGCAATGACAGATGTGCCATGGGCCTCAGAGCCAGTAAGTGTCAGAACTGGGATGTCAATCCAGTTTGATTCCAAAATTCATGCTCCTTTTTCACCATCCCGGACCTTCATTTTTCATTCTCAGAGGACACAGTCATGGGCTCCAACTCTCCCCAGGGCTGTGCGGGTGCAGAGGGAGGACCTGTGTCCCCTACAGCAATTGTCAGAGGGAAGGGAGGACACTTACCAAATAAGCGGCCTTCTATGTGCCTCATTTAATTCCCCAAACCGCCCAGTATTCCTACTTTCCTCCTGGGAAACTGGAGGCTCAGACATGTCTGTGACTTGTCTAAGGGTTACATAGGGGCTAAGTGTTGGGTTAGGATCTAACCTGCTCACTCCGGCTCATGACCACATAGATATCCCTAAATTCAAGGGTATAATTTCTTCTCAATAGAAAGAGTTTTCAAATTTTTAGACTAACATGGAACAAAGGACAGCTTCCCCCAGACTCTCTTTGCTCTTGTTTTTGCTCCCATGGCCCTGAGATTACACACCATTCTCACAACTCGATATTTACATTTGACACTGAAGGCTGAGGGTACAGCATGAGGCTGTTATCTCTTTGTTTCCAGTGCCCAGCACATCAGAGGTGCTCACTAAATGTCTGAAATAGGTTCTTAGACACTTGGGAGCCTGTTTACTGTTACTTTGCACACAACTCTTAACAAAGTGTAAGGAGGCTGTTGGGGCAGCCACGACTGAGAGTAATAAAAAAAAAAAGAAAGCTAAAATAGTGAAGAACAGAGAGAAAATTATACACAGCACAGGTAGGAGAACTTAAAAGGCAAAACAACTTGGAGTTTGTAGGACTGGGGCAAATTGCTGCTTGTAGCTCAACAGCCACAGAGGTTGTTATCAAGCGACAGGCCTGGCCATTCCCTGGTGCTCCAGAATGTGGCTATAAAGCATCAGAAATGTTACATTGTACTCTGTCTTGTGCACAGTGGAGAAAATGCTACACTGGGGTCACAACCCTGGTTCCCTCCTGAGCCTCTGCCTCCAGCCTGCTGGGAGATGGAGCCAAGGAAACTCCCCTTCTGGATCTCAGTCTTCTCATGCATTAGATAAGGCAGTCAAACAGTTATTTCCAGGATAAGAAATTCCCAGGGTTAGGATGTTTCAGATGGGGACACAGGTAATTCAGTTTCGGCAAAATTCCATTCAAAATCCCTCAAATAATGCAGGAAGGGTTGTGGTTGGTAAGGGTTAAGCTCTCAGCTCTCTGGAAAGCTCAGCTCTGTAGAATGATCTTCATCCTAAATATTCGGCTCTGTTCTAGCACCCACCCCTCCCTTCCAGTTGTCTTTGAATAATGACCCTAGAAAACTTCACAGAATTTGACAGTCCTGGGGCTGGGCTGGGGGCCAGGTACTTACCAGGAACAGGTGCCGGGGGCGTCTGCTTTTCCCTGTTACTTTCATCAGTGTCCCCTCCTTGAGAAACTCCTGTGGGGAGAGAAGCAGACCTGGGGGGTTAGGCTGAGGCCTGCTGCCATCCTAAGGAAGGGTGGGGAAAAGGCCCTGAGTGGGAAACCTAAGTTACGATGCCTCCCAAAGTGAATTCATGGGTGAATTCCCAGCTTTGGGAGATGCCCAGGTTTGCCACAACAGCTCTGGAGACAGACAGGAGGCTCTGCTTCGTAGGGGCACCCCACCTTGACTTATTCCAAGCCCCAGACACTGTTCTGGTCTCCAAGTGGTCCAGACAGGGACTCTTTCCCTGGTTTGCTGCCGTGAGGAGACCTTCAGAACGGAGCCTCTGAAGGTCTGCTAAAACAGCTGAAGACCTGTGAACAGTTGCTACAAGCTCCATAATTCTGGAGAATGTTTAAAATAGATGTTTAAAGTTACTTAAGAATAAATAAAATAGATGTTTAATAAATATTTACTAACCTGACGACCCAGGACCAAAACACTGTGTGATTTTACAGAATCTCAAGATCCCTGCTAATTTTGAGTAAATTATCCTGAGCACAACCTCTCATTTCTTTGTCTCTTGTCCTTCATGGACCATAGCAGGTAACAAACACATTTTTGACTATTTTTGAGCTGAATTTTATGTTTTCCATTTGGAAGCTTAAAAGTGGGTAAATTTGTCTCTTGAAAAATGTTATTTTTAAGACGCTTTGTTGGGGCTCTTGAGAGATGGTTTTCCTGATTTCCCAGCAACGCTGGGCTAAACTAAAAATAACTAAAAATAATCGGCGTCTCTTCTTCTCAGAGGTGAAAAGAACCACAGGGGACACTGAACCCAAATGGCACTGTTTCTTTAAAGGTCCTGAAAGTGGAAAACCCCAGGGGAGGCAGCCCATGGGCCTTGTGAGCCCAGCAGAGCCCGCGCCCTGCCCTCCCTCCCTCTGCGGGTAAACAGCACCTGCAGCCAGGCCTGTCTGGGACCAGCCCAGCTGAACAATGGGTCTTATCAGAGCCTCACCCGCCTGCCTACCAGGCCGCCCTCTGTCCCTGCCCATGGCGGCAGTGGCACTCACCCTTCCTGGCTGGAGGAGATCCCCTTGGCCCCGAACGCTGTGCTCAATGTGGACCAACTTCTGCAGGTTTTCCTATGGGTGGGAGCAGAGCGAGAGGGAAATGGTCAGGACCCCTTCAAGGGCATTGCTTCTACTTCAGAGGAGGAAAACGGAACCCAGAAGGGCCTTGCCCAAAATCTGACCTCCTGTCAGTTGCGAGACTGGGACCTGAGCTTGGGTCTGCTGGATGCCAGACATGTGGGCTGCCTATACTCAGGCTAGTCCCCCTGGGCCTGGGATCTGACATCGCCATCTTCTGCGTGCCATAGGGAGTCACTTGTTCTTGCTGTGCTATCCGATACCCATATACATCTCCAGGCCATGGCTCCTACTCTAAATCTGTGTGCCCCATAAGGTCTGGTGCATCTAGACTTCACTAGCCCAGAGGAGAGAGATGCCCAAGACCAGATTGTCTCTCTGGGCTTACAGCCCAGGGTCGGGCCTCTGAGGGAGAGTAATCGAGAAAATGTTCCACCTGGGGAAGAAACAGATCTGTGCTCCTTGAAGAAAAAGAAGTGTGCCTGGAAACTCCTGTTGGCTCTCACTGGGTTACATATAATATGCAGTGACACGCCTCCCTTCCCTCCGTACAGCACCCCATTATGCTAGAAATAACAAGTGCCTCACCCATGGGGTGGGCGCCCCCTGAACCTTATGCAGGGTCAGGTTCTAAAATTAATTAGCAAGGTGAAAATTGTGTGTAGGGAAATTGTCTTGAAAAGGCTTTTACCGCGTCCATAGTTTTGGACACAAAATCCTGCACATCAGAAATGTGTAAGAGTTGTTCCATTTCCACTCGTGACAGAGAACAGTGCCCCTAGCCTAATAATGAGGCCAAGGTAATCCACAGAGCCCTGACTCCTCTTCCATCTACTAGAGAGCTGAAGTCCCAAGGCAACCCCACCGGACCCGAATCCGGGAGACTGACAGGCGCCTTCACAGCGACGTGAGACACGTGCACTGTTGTAACACCCAGGAGGCAGGGGCGGCCACAGAAAGGAGGATGAGAAGAAAGCAACTGAAATGTTAATGGATTCTGGAAGGTCGGGTGTAGGCTGGTGGGACAGTTTAGAATAACAGAGAGCCCCAGACTCAAGGCACATCTGCAGTCACTTGCAAGCTCTTCTTTTCTAGCAGCTCCCACCAGGTGCTCACAAGGAAGACTAGAGGCAGGGCAGGGGGCCAGAAAGAACCCCCTTGGCGGTGAACGCATGCAGGCTACCACTGGGGGGGCCGGCAAAAAATCCTGCCAACTTCCCCAGCCCCCTCTCTTGTACAAACCCCTCACCCCTGGGAGAGGCCAAGAAATCCCCTCCCAGAGGACAGGCGAAGTGCCACTCACTACTCCTGGGGAAAGGGCAGAAGCAAAAGCTGTCTTCCCCAAGGAGAGGGGAGGTAGCCCCTCGGGCCCAGGATTGTGCACTCATACAAAGCAGAGACCTGTCCAAGACCTGCCATAGCTACAAGGCTGTGTTTGGCTACCATGCAGAGGAGGGGCAGGAAAGAGAGAAAGCCTAGGTTGCAGGCCCTGTTGAAGACTGAGGCTTGTCCCGGAGAGCAGAGACTTGGGAGGGTAGTAGTGCGTAACAGGAAATAGCAGTCTACCTCTGAGAAGGGGCAAGGGCATGGAGAGAGGCCCCTTCTGGGGTGCAGGGATTGCTAAAAGCTGCGGCAGAGGGGGGAGAAGGAAAATGAGAAAAACTCTCTGGCATCTCAGGCCCCACAAACAGTACCAGGTGATAGCAGCGCCCTTCTGGACGAGTGTGAAGTCCGGGGGGCTCTGAGGGTGACATAACAATAACAAAACCCAAACCCAACTCAACTACTGACTGGACTGACCCAACCCCCACCCCTTACACCCCTTACATGAACGGCATGATCGAAACCAGGCGCTCCCACTTCTGGGGTAGATACTGTTTCCCTCAGTCTCCATAATTCCTCCAACACATAATGCCAGCTTCAATCAAACATTATGAGAAACACAAAAAGCAAGAAAGAACCCCAACTCATTTTCAGGAAATAAAGCTTTCAACAAAACCAGACGGAGAGGTGACACAAATGTTATTAGAACCATCAGACAGGGACTTCAGAGCAACTCTGACTGTTCTAAAAAATTAAATCTGTTCAGAAACGATGGTGGTGGCCAGGGGCTGGGGGGGAGGGGCTTAGCATTTAATGGGGACAGTTTCAGTTGGGGACAGTGAAGAAGTTCTAAAGGTGGTTGGTGGTGACGGTCACACAACAATGTCAACGTACATAATGCTGATGAACTGTGCACTTAAAAATGGTTAAGATGGTCAATTTTATGTTACATATATTGTACCTCAATAAAATTTTTTTTAAAAGTCTATTAAAAAAAAGACAGTGAAATTCGGAGAGACTTACACCTGTCCCCTCACTCTGTTCTGGAGGGAGACAGCTTACTTTCATGCTATGGGGAAGAGGACAGTCAATGGCTAATTTGATCAAAAGCCTCGAAAGCCTGACCTTGCAACCAGATGTGGGATTTTTCTCCTAGGGAATCTGAGGTTTGGTCTGAGTAACTGTAGTTAGAAGCAAGGTGCATCCACTCTCTGATCCAACCTGTGACCAGTCCCTGAAGGAGTTCCCAGTGCTCACAAACCTGGGAGCAACTCTAAACCTCCATGCCTACATTTCATGACATTCCTCATGGCTGGATAAAGAAAGAAAAAGACACCCAAATGTGGGAAAGAGAAAAATGGTCCCTATCGTCATTCATGTGTGTCACGCAAGAGAGGAGCAGGTGCGGCGTGCATGGGCACGTGCACGTGTTTTCATGCAAGAATGTGTGTGAGGTTCCAGGTCTGAACCTGTGAGTGATGTGTGCAGGCATGTCTAGCCTGGTGGCTAAGAAAGGCTCACGTTCAAACCCAGCTCCCACGCTGAGAGCTGAGTGATCCTGGGTGAAGCAACTCGTCTCTCCAGGCCTCAGTTTCCTTGCTTGTGACACTGGGCTGATAACAGTTCCCCTGAGGATTAGAGGAGAACGCTGGGCACAATCCCCTGCTCAACAGAGGCAGCTGTGGTCACCGTGAGTAGGATGCCACATGGGCATCTGCTACAGCTTTTCCTGCAAAGCTGATGAGGATGACTTCTCTCACTTCTAAGACTTTCCCATCCCGTCTTCCACACTGCTCCCATTTATTCCTTGTCCTCCATCAAAATGTGAGGATCACGGCAGAGGAGGGGTTACCTGGGCCTCAGCTCTTAAGAGTCAGACTTCCCAAAGCTTCTCCTATCACCTAACAGTTTTCTGTTAACAGGCTGTTCAATGGATTTATAGTTTGGCTTGGCTGTCAGTACTTTATTCTAGTGAGTTTATTAGTGGCATTTCAGACCAGGTGTCAGGTAGGTATGTGGGTCCCATTTCAGGGTGGTGGGATCTGGCTCTTCCTAGAAATCATATCACCAGCTTAGCTACCTTTGTGGGGAGTTATGGCAATGGTTTGATATGAGCATAAAACCTACATGAATGCTGCCACCTCCAGGAAGTTTTCCCTGGTTCTCACAACCAATAAGTACTGCCCAGATTCTACTGAACACAATGTGGAGACATAGAAGGCTTTGTAAAATGGGGGCATGGCACCATCAGACACATTTTAACAGGATCACTCTGAATGGAATGGTAGGGTTGGGAGGTGATGAGGCCTGAGGTGTGTAGTGGCCATGGGGAAGGAGAGGCAGAGCCCAGCCTTGCCCTTTATCCACTCAAGCCACTGAGCTCTGCCCTGGCATTGGGTTTATCTGGACCTGCCTGTCCATGGCCCAGGCAGAGTCCAGTCCCGATCCTAGCAGGCATGCAGTAGGGGCTGATAATCCAGAGCAGACCCAGTGTGGTATCCCCAGGCAGCTGGAGAGACAAGAGCCAGCCTGTGCCAGGCATAGCATCTAGCCCCACGCTTTGAGAAAGCTGGGGGAGGGGGTTGGGGTTCAGTTCCTCCTGCAAGGTGGTGCTACACATGAGCTCACCCACAGGAGGGAAGACATGGCCCTTCCTGACCTAGTTTTCCTTTTTGGAAACAGAGGCATCCCTGGTTAAAGTGAGGTGCAGAGAAGCCAGCCCATCTGATGCTATGTCATGACGGGGTATGGGACGCCAAAGCACCTCTGTCTTTGGCTATGCTGAAGGAAATCTTACTGCATGTACACGATGCTAAAACAACAAAGAGCAAGGAGCTCATGGACCCCAGAGCAGGAGGACAGACAACCTGATGATGACAACATGTCTGATGTACCGATTTTCATACCCAGCTGGCTTCAGCCTCCACACTCAGCACACCATCTCTTCAGACTCTTGCCCTACCTCACCTACCCTGATCCCATCTTCCGGCCATGCTGGGTGGCTCTCTGAACTCGGATGTGACCTACGCTTCTCCACCTCCATGCCTCTGCCCAGGTCAGCTACTCTTCCTGGCACATCTTTCCTCTCTCTGCTTTTGAGGCATGTGTCCTCCCTGTGGGGGCACCTCCATCATCTCTTCTCACAGCCCCAGCTGGGAGGGATGGCTCCCTTCTCTGAACCATGTGGCATTTTCTCTGTCCCTCATGATGCTTATCATGTCCACATGTTTACTCCTCCATGAGCTGTGATCTCCTCATGCTGGGATTCATGTTTTAACTCTGTATCTCCAGTCCCCAACATAAGACTGACATGGAGTAGGTGTCTAATAGATGTGACTCCCCTCTCCTTCTTCTACCTGTGGATGACTTGCTAAAAGGGTGCTCTGTGTATCTGCCACAGCAGAGCTGAGCAAGTACTCAGCATGCATACCACCATCACCCCCACCTCTGCTGGTGGAACACATCACTAACTGATCACCAAACTCTTTTCCCCTGGGCTAGGACTCAGCCTCAGAATCCTTCTCAACACAAAGCTCTAGCCACACCTTAGTGGAGCAGAAAATACGGGACACAAGTAATCAAGGTAGCCACTTGAACAGAGCTGGGCTGTGGGATAAAGTTGGTCGTCTTTGACAGAAAACTGGCAAATACTGGATCAGCGTCCAACAGAATCACACTCTGTCAGAACCCGGCGTGTAGTTAGAGCTCACATAATCTTGTGGACAAGTGGTTTTCAAACTTTTGTGAGCAAAACATTTACCTGGGGTGCTTGTTAAAAATGCATATCCCTGGGGCGCCTGGGTGGCTCAGTCGTTAAGCGTCTGCCTTCAGCTCAGATCATGATCCCAGGGTCCTGGGATCGAGCCCCACATCGGGCTCCCTGCTCGGCGGGAAGCCTGCTTTTCCCTCTCCCACTCCCCCCGCTTGTGTTCCTGCTCTCGGTATCTCTCTGTCAAATAAATAAAATCTTTAAAAAAAAAATGCATATCCCTGGACCTGACCCCCAGATATTCTGGCTGAGAAGATGTAAGGTGTGCCTAGGAATTTGTAGCTTACAAGGCACTCCAGGTGCTGATGCAGATGGTCTCAGACCACAGTCGGGACATTACTTACCAGATCTGTACAAGTCTATAGCCCCCCCTCAGTATTCTAATGGTGAACCAGAGACCCGGACAGGAACACACAGTGCCTGAGTTCACACAGCAAGTGTCAGGGACAGAACCCAAGGGCCAACAACTCTTTGCCAGGTCCCATAGATGGATGCCTGCAGCACCCCCAGAAGTGGAGCATCACAAGGCAGACGTGGGCAGGCTGGAGGGGGGCCTAGACCCGAACCCCGGAGAAGGAGCCCAGGAAATGGACTTACCCCTTGCTCCATGCTATCATTGGCATGGTCTGTGACTTTGGAGATGAGGGTGAGGGCACCTGTGGGGGGAAAGAGAGAAGATAGCAGGCCTTCTGAGGAGGAGGGCCAGTCCAGGAGCCACCATTCTCGCCTCTTTCCTGTCCTCCCCTCTCTCCCACCCACTCCCCAAGATCACCAGGTAGGGGCTTGTGTGCGGGAGGCACCAGGTCTTCCCACAGCTGGGTCAGGTCACGGGCCCAACCCTTGCTTTGCTACTACAGCCTAAGTGTCCTTGCCAGTGGTTTGACCACTCTGTGCCTTAGTGCCCTTGTCTATAAACTGAATATGTTAAAATAGGGACTGCCCTGGTAGGTAGGTCATATGCAGGGACAGTCACATAGAATTGGGAGGAAACAGGGACACTGAGGTGACTTTTTGAGACCTGGCACCACCTCCTAGCACCAAATTCTGATTACTGCCCTCTCCTTTGACTGGATGACAGCCCATCCTGGGGAGTCCTGTGCTTGAGGGGAGGGGGTAATCACCTCAGAAGCCCCAGAGGTTTCCTGCCCACTGCACATCCAGCTGCCAGGGAGGGGGCTATGTCCTGCACCAGGGACAGGGACCAAAAGAGGAACACGTCCCTGTCCTCCGGGTTCATGCTGCACTTACCCTGCGTGTTATCGTACTCAGCTGAGTCCGGACAAAGGTTGTTTAAATAGTCTGCAGGGAGAACAAGAGCCAGGGTCAGTTTGCCCCTGGGAGGCCAGTCCCTCCTGTCCACAGCAGGAGCCCCCCTCTCCGGACTTGGAGGAAAAGTGCCAGAAGAATGGGGTACCTACCCTCTCACCCCCGTTAGCCCGCCACCCCACCACACTAGAACAAACAGGCCCCCGAACCATCACCAGCATCATTGCCACAACTGCTAGTCATTCACTCGTTCAACAAGTATCTATCGAGTGCTTGCTGTGTGCCTGGCACTGTGCTATACCTTCAGGATTCACAGACAAGGTGAATCCTGCCTCTGAGAAGCACACTGTCTACTGGGGGAACAGATGTGACCAGCATCACAGCGGAGTGTGATGTATTACACCTTTAACACATTTATACCCACAAGCTCTAGCTCTCTCTCCAGCTACCTCTCCATGTCACTCATTCATTCTAGCAATGCTGGCACTCTTACTATTGCTTGAACATGCCAAGCCTGTTAATACCCCCGGGCCTTTGCACTCACTACTCCCTCTATCTGGTACTCTCTTCTTCCAGATCTTCATAGGGTTCATGTCCTCACTTGGCTGAGATCTCTATGCAGTGCTACCTCCTCAGAGAGATCCTTCCCCGTGCTGTATCTAACTCAGAGCCCTATTACCTCCATCCCCTTAACCTGCTTTATTTTCTTCAGAGCTCTTAATCACTGACGTATTTTTATTTCCTTGTTAGTTTGTTAAAGTATAAACTCCACAGTGTTACAGAGTTTTGGCTGTTTAATTCACTGCTATATTTCTAGCATCTAGCACAGGGCCTTGTACACAGGAGATACTCAATAAACATTTGTTGAATTAGATGAACAAATTCTCTGTCCCTTGGCCCTAATATACTTTCCTTGTGGCCCTGGTCACTATCTGGAATTACATGCCTATCTCTACGTGTGGGTGTCTGTCTCCCTTACTGGAACAGCAGTTCCCCATGCCTGGTGTCTTTGTCCATTTGGGAGGCAGCTGGGTAAATGAGTCTGGAGCTCAGGACAGAGGTGTAGTATTTCTGTCAGGTGGAGGTAGGGGAGGGGATGACTTTCCCAGGGGAGAGTTTGTCAAATGGGAAGGAAGGAAAGAGGACCTAGGACTGAGCCCCAAGAAACACTGACATTTATGGAAGAGTGGATGAAGGGAGGTTGTCAACACAGATGGAGAAGGGTAGCAGAGAAGTCTGAGGGAGACAGGGGGAGAGTGTGTATCACAGAAACCTCAGAATGAGAGGGTTGAGAAGCAGAAAGTGGTCAGTGGCTAAGCCACAGAGATGGCCAGAGCAGGTCCAAGGTGAAAAATGTCCAATGATTTGGCCCCAAGGAGGACGTGGTGATAAGAACAGCATTAGGGAAATGAGATACCCACTGAGGAAATGCAGAACAGGGGAAGGTGGGAGATTCTGTGTGTTAGGATGGGAGAGGCTGAAGAAAGACACAGAAGGTGGCCGCCGAAGTGAGGTTTCCAAGGTGGCAGCAGGGGGTTCCAAGCTCAGCTGGAGGGAAGGTGGTGGCAGAGTCTAGCATGTCTGGAGGAGCAGGTGCCAGGAACTGAGAGCCATCCTCCCCCTACCCACTGCCGCCATGGTGGGAGGGGAGGTTGTCCTAACACAGCTTGCCACCAGCACTGGTGCACCCCTCCTCAGGGGCCTTCCCTCCCCGCATCACCTCAGTGCACGTTGACCTCCTGTGGGGCCCACCTGTGAGGAGCACTTGGTACTGGAAGAGGCGCTGAACCACCCGCAGCAGCCGGTGCTTCACGTTCTGGCCACCTCCTTGCTGACTCTGCTGCTCCCAAGAGACAGGGAAGACAAAACTCCATCAGAGACCCCTGTCTCAAGGCACCAGGCTCATGGCATCCCTCATACACTGTCCCATCCACACCTCTTCCTGGCCACGCCAAGCTTCTCCCCATCTCTAAAATCAGGATCCCCTCCTTCAGGAAGGCCTCCCAGATTAGCATCACCCTGCTGTGACAGTTCCTTCCTTCAGGCTCGCAGTCAGTGCATCTATCAGTCCCTGCTTTTCATTAATGTTAGTAAAAGAAAAAAAAAACAACCATTTTTCTGTCTAGTAACTGGATACCCAGTTTGTTGATCCATTTGTTGGTCACTCCATTGGCTGGGGTCCCAGCTTGCTTTGTGCTTTTCTCCTGCGACAGGAGAATGGTCACTAAAACCCTCACCATGGTGGGGGCTCATAGAGTTGTCATCAATCACCCATCAGGGAATGTTCTCGGTTCTAGGTCTTCCCTCCTGCTGGGTCACCCTCTCCTTCCCCAGCCAGGTCTTGCCCTCTGACCCCCATCCTCAGACCTACCAAGAAGCCCCACTGATTCGCAGTAAGCCCTTCCATGCGCACCCCGCCCCTGGATCCTTAGAGCAGGTTCCAGAGGACCAAGGGACCCACCTCAAACTCGCGGACAGCAGCGGCCAGCCGGGGAGAATGCAGGCAGTTCTCACTGAGCAGACTCAGATACCTGTCGAACTGCAGGATGTGAGCGGCATGATGGTCAAACTCTTGTTCCCGGGCCAGGAAGACGTCAGCCACCTTCTGCTGGCCCTCCCTGCAGCCGGGGAGGGGGATGGGACAGCGAGAACTCAGCCTTGTGACCAGCACAGTGTTCACTGGTGAGCGCTGGAGTCACATTACTGGGTGGCAACCCCAGCTTGACCCTCCCGCGCTCGTTTTACTTTGGGCAAATGACCTAATACCTGTGTCTTGGCTTCTGCGCTGGTCAAATGGAGACACCGTTTCACATGCTGGGACTTTAAGCACCCCCACACCCCAGTGCAATGGAAGTAGGGGCAGGAGTCCATAGACAGCTCACCAGTGCAACAGCCTCTCCCCCAGCTCCTCCAGGATCCCCTGGTGCAGGTCTCGGATGGCTGGGAGTTCACTCAGGCCACGCCTCAGCTCCTCCCTGGCCAACGTGTCCTTGCCCTCCTGGTCTATTTCATCCAAGGCCCTCATGACAGCTCCGTGGAAATCCTGAAACCCCAAAGGCCTGTTACCCACAGCTGATAGGACTGAGCACAAGTTCACCCTTTGCAGCTCCCCCACGGCTTTGAAGCCCTGACCTACACACAGATAGCACAGGACCTTAGGTCAGCATTTCAGACCCCAGTATTCTCACCTGTAAAACAGGGGTGATAACACATACCTGATGATCACAGATAACTGGTGCCCAAAAAGCACCCAACACAACTCCTGTTACAACAGAGGGCGCTAAAGCATGTTCATTCCTGAACTTGGGTCATGCTCTTCTTCCGAATATTTGGGTAATTCCCTCTCTGAAGAAATATAGGGTGCTCTAACCATTATCTGTCTTTGAAAAGGTTCATGCACTGTGTTGTTTTAAAATGAAGTCTAAAGAAATCATAGGCAACCCCTCCATGGTGTATTAAGCAGTCACTGAAAATGATGCAGATGGTGACTATGTACAAATATTCATGTCCTAGAGCTAGGAATCAAGAAGGTATACAAAGTTGTCTTTCTATCCTAACACAATCCCATAACACAGGAAAAAAGGAAAAAGCTAAAAGGAAATAGATTGAAATGTAAACAGTGGTTGTGTCAGGGGTCTAAGATTGGAATGATTTTTTTTCTTCTTTGTTTTCTAAAATATCTGTATTGTGATTAATTACTTTAAAAATTCCACTAAATTTAATGAATGCTAAAATTAAAACAAATGCAAAACCTTTTTTTAACAAAAAAAATTTTATCTTCAAATATACCTGCTCTTGCATGAGCCACAGGTCTGTAGTTTTAAATATATGGGATATACTGAAACCACCTCAAACTGTGGAGTGGTGCACATCAGGAAAAACATCAGCATCAGAGGTCATGTGGTCCAGCCCAAATCAAGAAAGTCAAATCACCTTTATAACATTTAGGAAAGATGATCTCACACTGCCTTGTTTGATTGCCTCCCTGATGGAGAACTCATTACTGACCAAGACAGTTAATTCCACTGCTGAACAGTTTTCATTGCTAGAATGGTCTCTCTACATTGAGACCTGAAAGGGGAAAATGCCTGAGAGGCATTTAGTGACTTCCTCCAGGAAGTCTTTCTGATGTTCTCCCCAAAGGAATCAGGAGAAGGGGAAGGCTAGGGAAAAAAGGCAGGGAGGTAGGACAGGGCCAGAGAGAGGGACAAGGGGAGAGAAGAAGAAAAATGAGAAAGCAGAGAGAAAGAGAGAGGGACAAGGGGAGAGAGCGGGAGGGTAGGAGGGAAGGAGGGACTGAGAAGAGAGCAGGACACAGAAGGTGAGAAGCAGCATACTCTCCTGGGCCCTGTCTTTAAAGAGGCTGCCTGCGCCATCGGACAGAGGACAGCAGATGTGGGGGCTATAAAGGTCTCTGCTTCCTGAACACCTCATCCTGTCTGGAGCTGACCTCCTGCTCCTGCAACCTGCTCTGCCGGGAATTGGGAGGAAGGACAAGGAGAGGGCGGCCCACCCTGGCCTGTGGTCCCAAGGAGGGAGAATGAGCTGGTTCTTCCTGAGGCCAGCCCTCATCAGCCCCAGTCTGGTGCAGTTTGAAGGTCAGGACCCCTCTAGCCCCATCACTGAGGTCAGAAACTTGGGGCTGAGTCTTGAACTAATGAATAGACTCTCTGGCTGAAGGCATGTGTGTCCTTAAGCGGAGGCCACATGCTAGAGCTATAATTAGAAACCAAATCCCATTGTACCTAAGCTATCAGAGCCTTTCCTGAAAGCATGTTTCAGAGGGTGGAGAAAGTGTGAACTACAAGTGAGAGGCAACCAGGGGGAGGTGGTGCTTGATTCTTATTTCTGCCCGCAGCTGGCTCTGGGACACTGGGGTTGTTTTGAACCTGGAGTGGGGGTTTCTCTGCTGACCCAGGGCAGGAGGACCCTCCCACTCTTCCTTATGAGTCCCCATGGTTAGGGCCCAGCCTCCAGCCCTGCAGGGTCTTCTCAGCCCTGGCATCTCAGAGAAAGAAAGAAAACATCCTGATGAGGACAGTAACCCCTCTCGTTTGGGCAGCTGGTAGACAGGGGACTTTCAATACACTGTCATCGGCTCTGTGCCAGGTTCAAGCTCAGATACACCAGAAGAGTAGCTGATGACTGTGGACAAACTGTCACCTATCTGAGCCTCCATTTCCTCATCCATAAAATGGGGATAGCAGTACCACTAAGTACAGCATGAGGCTGCTGAGAGGCTCATCCTGATGTTTAAAACTGCTTTGTAAACTGTAAAGTGCTATCCCCACGGCAGTTGTGATCATATTTTAGTTATGACCTCTTCAGAACAGGGTCACATCTGTTTTGTTTCCTGCTATGTTTCTAAAGTCCAACAGAGCATGTGACACAGAGAAGTTTTATAGTACTTGCTGACTACTGACTGATTGAAAGACCTTTATTTAATGGAAAAGGAGAGTGAGCCATAGGGGAGCCAAGATCATAATTCGGTCACCCTGCCACCCAGACCACCACAAAAAGGGGAAGAGGGCTAAGGCGAGGGAGAGAAGGAAGGACAAGCAAAGACAAGACTGATGGCTGCATGTGCATCGCACCCCAGGGAACTGAAATATTAACTGCTCTGCAAGCTAGTTTCTCATCCGTAATTAATTCTCACTAAATTGACTCAGTCCCAATGGGCAGGATGGCCATCACCAGCATGACTCATTTCAAAAACTGGAGCATAATTGGATTCATCACAAACATCCATTCTTAAAACTCATGCATTGGCTGGAAGCGCCAAGTGCCAGCCGCACCATCCATCACTCATCTCAATAGTCCTGGCCATCACTGCACCCAGGGTCTCTCAGACAGAGGAAGGAGGTAGGAGATAGGAGATACCGGCCCTTATCCCCTTATTCATTCACCAAATATTCTGAGTGCCTGCTCTGCACCAAGCCCTGAGGAGAGAGTGAAAGCAGGAAATGCTATTCTGCCCTCAAAGAGTTTGCAATCTGGAGAAAATGAGGAGTACAACCACAGTTTCAACACAGAGGTTGATGGGGGAAAGTGCTGTGATGGGGAAAAACACAGGAGCCACAGCTGGCCATAAGGGGGAGAGCTGGCTCGGCTCTGGGAAACCATGCCAGGAAGGCAACACCTCCACTGAGATAAGAGGGGAGTGTGTCATGCAGAGGGCACAGCATGTGCAAAGGTCCTGAGGTGAAGGAGGAACTAAGTTGAGTGTGTCTTGGGTGCAGTATGTGTGTACACCTTGCAGGATTAGAATACAATGGCGCTGGAGAATCAGACAGAGAACCCATTCCATAGAGCCCTGCAGGCTTTTAAAGGCACTTGGGTTTCATCGTAGGGTGACAGGGAACCACTGGATCAAATATCTATCTTAGAAAATTTACTTTGTTGGGAGAACAAAGTGGTGGTGGCCAGAAGGAGAGCAAGAGCAGTACGAAGGCCGTTCTAGTCATCCAGGAGCAGGGCCCAGACCCAGTAGTGGCCATGGGGATGGGATGGAGATGGGGGATGGACTAGAGATAATAAGGAAGAAGAACCAAATGGCCCCCATGCCTGCAGGGTCCAGTCAAAACCCCTCTGGGCACCAGAGACCTTCCTCACCTAGTCCACCTTCTCACCATGCTCACTTCCCAGCTCTCTGTGGAGCTCCTGTTCCAGCCTTAGAGCCTCTAGGCCCCAAGCCAAGGCCTAGAGAACACACATGAGTCCTTGTCTACCTGGAGAGTTGCCTATGTGTGACCTTGGGCAAGTTACTTCATCTCTATGGACCTCAATTTCCCCCTCTGCTAAATGGGGATACAAATACCTTCTTCACAGAGTCTGTGCACACTGCCTTCTGTTATGTTTTAGGATGACTGGTTTTTGTGCCTTCCTTCTCCCCTAGACTGAGTTTTACTTATCTCTGTATCCCCAGCACCCAGCCCCGGGGAAGGTGAGCAACACATGACAACAGCCAACATGTACCGAACACTCCCGCAATCTGAGCTCAACACTACACTTTCCCATCTAGTCCTCAGAACAACCCTCTCACTTTGGCATTATTATTACTTTCATTTTGCCGATAAAATAATCAGGCCCAGAGGGATGGAGTAAATTGCCCAAAGCCGTCAAGATGGCAAGATTCGAGCCAAAGTCAGCCTGACTCCAAAGTCCCAGCTCTTTCCATTGCTCCATGCCAATTCCACATTTACAGATGGGCTCAGACAGGGGAGTGACTTCCTCAGGTGAAGGAGGAGGACTAGACCCCAGTTCTCCACAGTGCTGCCCAGGGCTCCTACCCAACCTCAGAGACCCTGGGGCAGCCTGGTGGAGAGGCCTGAGTGTGAGGACTGCCTCTCTGCCTCTGGAATACGAACAAGTTTCCTAGAGTTCTCAGGGTTCTCAGAACCCTGTCCTGGACTTGTGGGTGGTAGAAGTGGGGAGCTCACATGCAGGGCCTAGTCCCTTGGCCCCTTTTTCCTTTTCCAAACCCACTACTGAGTTTTCTGGGCAGCATAGCATCTCCATTCTCTGGGCTAAACAGTTGGTGGGTAGCCAGAATGTCAAACCACTAATGTTGCTGCCAAAAGTCAAGTGGACTCACTGGGATCCCATCTGGCCAAACACACACCAACCTCAACCATGACCCACCTGTGTCACCAACATGCACTGGCAGGCCGTGAGCTGTCCAGTAGACATAGGTTCACCTGGCCTGATCAGTCACTGGAGGGTACTTTGGAACCCTGAAAACAATTCTGTGGGGGGGCACACAAAGACTTCTTTTTTTTCTTTTTTTAAGAGAGGGAAAGAGAAGAAAGGGGGAGGGGCAGAGGGGGAGGAAGAGAGAGAATCTTAAGCAGGTTCCACGCCCAGCTCAGAGACCAATGCGGGGCTCGATCTCACGACCATGAGATCATGACCTAAGCTGAAATCAAGAGTTGGATGCTTAAACGACTGAGCCACCTAGGCACCCCTAGGCTTCTTAAGCTGTATACAAAAAGTATGAGCCATACAGAAAAAGAAATATATTGCCTTCATGTTAACAGATGAATA